AAGCTCAAGATCATTAGTGATTTTTATTTACTATATTAGAAGTAAACTTAGCTAAACAGTCTTTGATCAATACATCTGTAACTAGACAAAACTCTAAATATGATTGCTTTTTCACACAAATACAAATGCTCTGAAAAAGTATTTAAATGCAATTCAAATAGATTTTTCTATGATCTGCCAATACCAACAAGCACCGAGCACTGACAAGACCTGAATTAAAAGACATCAAGACTAGAGCAATTTATTTCATCTATTTGAATTCTAAAGCCAAGACATATGATCAGACTTGGTGGTCAAAACTTTGTCAATAACACCATCTACATTTATGTCCAAATTCTTCATTTTCAATGCTTAATAAAGCCAAATTGCTTAGGCGTTCCTGATCCATTGTGCTTCGGAAATAGTTTTTATTAATTTTAGTTTGCTAAAAGAGTTCTCACAGGGTGCCACAAAGACCGCAACAGTATGCACAATGCTATATGTAAATTGGAGAACACACCACCGTTGTAAGATATTTTGAAGTTGAAAAGCTCAATTGGGTTTTTAATTTAATGAAGGCACTGACTTTATTTTTTTGTGTACTTTGCATTTTTCTATGTCTTTGTTCAAGTCAATGAGGCTTTCAGTATCCAAAAGGAACCCAAATTGTTCATGTAACTGACTCAACCTTTTAAATTGATCTTTCAGTTATGTATTCAACCTGTCCAGTACTGCCTTAAAGGTAACATCTATTTCTTCTCTCCCATTTAGAGGCTCCTCTTTTTGTTTCCCCTCCTGTCATTATTTTTTTATTTATTTTTTTTTTTTTAAACAATGCACCCTTCTCTGTTGACCAATATCAATCCCCCATTTTTCCACACCTTTTGCAATTGAATTTTCATGGAGAGAATCCTATTCCCTCATAATATTGTTGCAGATTTTGAATGTCAGCTCAAGTTTCATTGAAGTTCATTCTAGGGCACTGAAGTCTCTTCTGTACTCTGTCGATGAAAGTCAGGACGTCATCTCAGAATGACAGCATAGTTAGAAAGCTGAAAGTTTGCATGTTGTGCAGTAAACAGCTGTGTTGCACCTTGATACTGAAATGTCACTTGCCATATCCCCCAACAATTTAGCTATGTCATCCAACTTCATTTTTACAACATGAACAGCACTGCACCTATCATTCCATCTTGTATCAGGAGACCGCTTTACAGCAGTTCCTAGTATTTTGTTCAATTTCTCCCACTGCAAATGAAAAAATTGTATAATGAATCAAGAACTTCAAAAAATGATATAGCAAACACCTGTTCTGATGCTGCATGCATTCTTACAAGGTTCAAAGAATGGTTTTCACATTTCACAAAGACTGCTTTCAGGTTTCTCTGTGATACATGTTTCTGGACACTGGACATCTTCCCAGCCATTTTTACAGGATTGTTATATGTCTGTCCATGACAGTCATTCAAATCAAGACCACCTTGTTCCAATTTTGAGGTAATTTCTTCTGTAACACCCTCAGCTTCTTTTTCATGAATTTTAATATAATCAATGAACACTTCTTTGACTACAGTAGTTTTTGATTCATTGTCAACATCAACAAACCTGAGAATTTCAGACATTTTTTTGTTGTGAGAAATGTCAGGAGTTTTGTCAAACATAATCCCATAATATCTGCTACTTTTGACTCTTGGTGGGATAGACTGATACGTCTTTGCCCAGTAGCTCAACTCATATTGTATCTTGCCAGATAAAAATGTTACAGAATGTGGATGCAACTTGACATAAACCAAGTGACAATGCAACAGAAGGTCATATTTACTAAGTAGCTTAACAAGTGCAAGAAAATTACTAAGGTTATTACTTAATGCAATGACTTCTCGGTGTCCACGAAATGCCAGATGTAGAGTCGCCCAAAATACAATCCACAAAACACATGAGCAGATCCTTTCACAATTCTGTTCTTTCATATGCTTCTGTCAATTGTAGATCCTTTTGATATGTGTCTCTCAAGGTCTTTGCATGCAAGAAATGATACACAGCGATGAGTGCCCTGTTCATGTTCTGGTGTTCATTTGTTGCATATTTTCCATTTTCAAAATCCACAAGATTTTTTGAATATTGTGCTTTGAATGACAGGGACGGTTGAAAATACCCTGCATCATTTTTAATAGAGTAGAACAACCAATTATGCAGAACTGTAGACCCATCTTGTAGTTTTCTTTCAAACTAGTAATTTGTGACTTTGCAATTGAGACCTACATATTTGCACTTGTTTCACTTCTCATCACTTCTTCAACATGTCAGCTCACAATAACTTCCCAATCTTTTGTAACTTTGAAAAGGCCATCTTTATCCTGAAAAGCTTTAGTACCCATCTTCAACATTTGTACATATAGATCATCAGAAATTTGTGGTTTATCATGATTTACATACAAACAAGCAACCTGCATCTTTCTTGGTTAATACTGCATATTTAGTTTCATCATATTGTGCATGTTCATCAGATTGACAACAGAATGAAAATGAAGGCTGACTGGAAGCATCTAATAAAACCATTTGCTTTGCCTCAGAATCTATCTTAACAGCCAAATACATATATACATTGCAATAAAGCATTTTTCACTATATTCTCAGCAAAAGTGCATGATTTTCAGTAATAAACTACAAAGACCTTCATTGAGTTTCTCAGGGTAGTATAATCATATGAAAATAATATTATTATTATTATTGCAGCAAAGGCTACAAAAAACACCCTTCAAGGCTTTTGTCATTGCTAACATCAACCAAAATTGTGCCATAAAATTTGTGAATATTTTCACATCAAAACCCTGTGTATAGAAATATATGGCACATTATATCTGACACCAAGTTAAAATAAGATTATTATATCTAAATCTTTTATATATTCATTGAAATGCTATGATCTACCAATTGAGGCATGGAGAAAAATTACTATTATTATCATTTTGCAAAGAAAATCTGGGTTCACCATCCCAGAAATACAAGATATGGGATTCCATGTTAATTGATTTCTGACAGAGGACCCCAGTTTACATCTTCATCCTTCAAGAACTTTTCTAAAAAATAGGATTTTGAACACTTCATGGTGAGCCACAGAAATCAACAGGCAAATGGCAAAACCAAATCTGCAGTGAAAACAGCTCATGAGAAAAAACAAAGTCTACCACATGGACCAGTTTCTGTCATTGCTTGATGTCAGAAATATCCCAACCTAAGGAATGGGAAGCAGCCCTTCTCAACGCCTACTGTACACTTCTCCCAATGAAGAGCAATTTGCTAAACCTTAGGGTGGCGAGCTTTGAACCAAGTGGAACATAGACAGAAAGTTCAGGCTAAATACTATGACTATCATACATATGATTTACCTGTGTTGTGAAGGTGATTTTGTACAAATGTGCCCATACAAGAAAGGTGATCAAGTGTGGGAGAAAGGCATCATAAATCACTGATTGGATGAATGTTCATACAGAAAGCAAGTGGAAGCTATTGGCAAAGCAGACATCATCTGCACAAATCTTCTGAACCAGTAGAGCTTGCAAGAAATGGTCAGCCACCACCAACCTCTACAGACACTCTAAGTTTGCCACATGACATGGCAAAAACACAAAGATCCCCTGCACCTCACACAGTATCCTCACCAGCTGAAGCTGTGGCAAGTGAAGGCACAAATACAATAGAACCAGAAAAATGTGAATCTCCTGTTGGGATTCATATATGTGCTGGACATATGACAGCCAGCATATCTGAAGGACCATGTCAAACTGATCAAGGACGGTACATAATACTGAAAGGGGGGGATGTTACATTATTGTTTAAGGTATACTCCCTTTGCATTACAGTTTAGTGTATGCTCCCTAATTGATGTTAAGGAATATGATTCTCACTCCCTGATACATCCCTTTTCTCCCTAACCTCTTTCTCATCCTCTTTCTTCCATTACCTAATAAATGCCAGTCACATTTCATGTTGGCTCTCTCTCAAACTTGAGTCTGTCCTGTTTTCCATGACTTAATGTAACATCAGTAATTACTTCAGAGATAGTCTTAAAGAGAAATCCTTACATACTATATAAAATTCACAATATAAAAAAGTACCATATTATGAATCTCTATAGGCTCAAGATCATTAGTGATTTTTATTTATTATATTAGAAGTAAAATTAACTAAACTGTCTTCGATCAATACATTGGCTAGACCCTGTACAATATATAATTGCCCAAAGGTAATTGACAAGAAAAGAGATGGGTAACAACTAAAGGAACTAAATAAAGCTTCTTTGAAAGTTTTTATTTGAAGCAAATATTATAAATCTATATCTAATAAATTTATCAACAGTGTTGAAATATATTCTGCAAGAAATTTTTCCCCATATAAGTTACTTGTATGCAAATTATTTTACTTTTATTCAGGATCACATTTACAACTATCAAAAGTGCTTCATTGTTTAAAAAACATGGCTGACATTTATGTATGAACTTCATTATGACTGAACATGACAAACTTTTACTTAGCATTAAAATTCATCACAATCTTCACCCAAGAACAATCAAAATGTAAAGATAAGCTTAAAAATATTAACTTACTTTAGATTTACAATGGTTTCTAAAGACATACAATTAAATTAAACAGTCCATTACAACATAATCAAATAAATTCATATGAAAGAAAAAATAAGCAATGTCATTCCCTCTTATTGATATTTGTATTCTGCAAGTTACATTTACAGGGAATCAAAAATTGAGCATAATTAAGAATAACCTCTTTCTCAATTTTTGGCAACCTGTTTCTCAATTTAAAATTATGGACCAAATAAAAATTTCTGTATACTAAATAACTAGTATATAACTAATAAATAGTGACTGATGATGATATTTTAGAAACAAAACTCATCTATCAGTAAATGTGAAATAAAATTGCATAAAACAGTGCATGACGTTTACAAATATTATTACAGTAACACTACTCTTTAATAATAATAAAAACGAAAATTTTCTCACTGTAACAAAAGTGGTTTCTTCCTCCAAGTTACATTTTTCATCCTTTCCTCTTTCTTCTAACTCATTTTTCCTGACAGTAATAAACTCTTGGATAGAAGTCATCTCCTTTTTTAATTTTCTTGACAGCTTCACTGCCTTCTCTAAATCAGCTTTGCCTTGAGTTACCTGAAGAAAAAAAAATATTTTTTTAAAAATTTGTCTGATCACTAAAAAGAATAACCCTAACTTATATATCTGTCCACTCAAATAATATCACCACAAAATTGTATTTTTACAAAGTTCAAATGCTAAATCAAATATCAGAACAGTTTTAATAAAATCAATATTACTAAAAACATTATGCATGCACACACAAACACACAAAGAACATTCAATGATTGTTTAACATTGTGTATGAGTGTATGTGAAAAACATTCGACGACATCCAGTTAATAAAATGATTCAATCATATCAACTAAACATATATCCCCTGTTTTTATGTACACTACAGGCAAAAAGTTTGTGGCCCATCCCGCATTTCTTTAAAAATCACCTTAAAATGAAATATTTTTGTATTTTTTTTTTAAGTAAAAGATAAAATTTCAGTAACTATAATGTATTCGCTTTTATTCTGATACAAATAAGTACTTAATTATAAAAAGTTATCATACAATAGCATCATTTTTGTTTTTGTCAATAAAACCAAACCTGCCTTAATTATAGTTTTACAAATTTTTGACATTTTTTCCCAACAGTTCTAGAAAAAAAAGTAGATGACAGACTTTCCTAAGCTCCGTCAAAAACTGAAAAAGCCCACTCTCACTCTTTTGGTATTCTCTTCAAACTCTCCTATTCAATACATCCCATACTAATTCATCAGGAGAGAGGTCAGGAGATTGAGGCAGCCAATTTTTTTTTTTTTTTCAGTGTAATTTTGACATAATTTAGAAGAGTGTTTTGATCATGGTCTTGTTGAATGGTGTTTTTTTTTTTTCCATCTATACCAGATGGTATAGCATGTCTTTGTAAAGTCAAATGATATTGATCTTTTTTCATGATTCCCTTAACCTGAAGCAAATCTTCAGCACTTTTGATAATCTAAGAAAGTCTACTAAGGGGTTAATGGTGAAAACAAAATATAATGTTTCTCATACAAAATATTCATGATTTTGCAAAATATATTGTGGACAGACACATTCAAACTTAAATTTTTTGGTAGTAAGAGGAGTTTGGAGAAAGACTGAAAAATAAAAGCAAATACACTGTAGTTACTGAAATTTTATCTTTTAATTGAAAAAAAAAAAAAAATCTCATTTTAAGATTGTTGTTTTTTTTTTTTAAAGAAATGCAGTGTTGTCCCAGATATTTTTTTGTTTTGGCTGTGGTATAGAACATAAAAAAATGAAACCGCGTGTGCATGTATTTTCTGATATACACACACACAAATAAATAGTCCGAAGTTATACAGGGGAAACAACTTAGTCTAAAATAAAAGGCAAACTTCATACTAAAATTGTAGCATTGCATTTTTCAGGTTTTAATTCATACATTTTCCATTTGTTAACAGTTGATATGTTAAAAGGCAGATTAATCAACTAATTATATATATATATATATATATATATATATATATATATATATGTGTGTGTGTGTGTGTGTGTGTGTGTGTGCGAGTGATGCAAAGATATTTTGATAGAAAATATTTAATAAAAGAAAAAATTTCCAAAATCTTTTATATTTATCAATATTTTTTTTATTTTTTTTTTAAAGAACAATTGACAATATTACAATTTCAATACAAACTTTGTAATAATTAAACAGAAATCAGTAATTTAAAAAACAAAACAATTTATATAACAACAAAACAATATCGGTTTGTAAATTATAGAAAAAAATTAATACATTGAGCCTTTATTTAGCAAGCTCATTTTTTTTTGTTTATAACCTTTCTAAAAAAAAATTTTTTTTCAATATCTCTATATTATCTGTTTAATTAAGAAGAGACAATAAAAAGTATTTTATAACTGAATTAAGTCTGTTTAATTATTTCCAAATTAAATTATCAGTTATCAATAAATGTGTCAGAGTTTATGAAATGACAAAAAATTGAAATAAGAATGTGTTCGGATTACTTACCAGTCCACCAAGATGATTGTATTGCTGCTTCAGAGCATCAAGTATCTTGTTTAACTTGTCAGGAAAATCTACTTGTTTCTTCTCCACAACTTGACGCCCAGTTTTAAGGACATATTCTACTTCTGGTTTCAATTCACTCATAGTTTTATAGAATTTCTATAAGAAAAAAAATGAAAAAAAAACTATATGCCACATCACATTTATTGATGGCATTCTGTAGCAAAACAAGACAAAAATCATTAAAAACAAATATCAGTTGAACAGATCTTGATGTATACTTCTGTATCAAAAGGAGTTACGAATTTGAATACTTATTTTTTCAGGTTGTTATAGTGTTTCATTATTTTGAATTCACTATATAAACACTTGTATTTTTTATATATATTTGATAGAATATAGGGTGTAAGATCTATAAAATATATCTAATATTTAACATTGACAACAGTGGCATTTGCTGAATATTCTCAGCTTAAATATAATGCTGCTTTCAGCAGAACTTCAAAATGGAAAAATGAACCCAAAGTCCTAATATATATTTTAAGAGTTAAATCAACAATATTTGAATACAATGAAAAGTAACTTTTGACATTTTATGTAAGAATAAACACATGAATATTCAATATTAAAAGAAAAGTTATTTTATCTAAAATGGCAAAGTATTAAAATCTGATATTTTAAATTCTGATTTGCAGAAAGCAATTATCACCTGTGTTCTGAAGAGATGTGGTGTATAGGAGAAGATTATCTTTTTACAAATTCCCAGTTATTTATTATATACAAAGTTATAAATAAATGAAAAGAAACTAATTGAGATGTACAGTGGCGATCACTATTTCAGTTCAAGCTTACTTAAAATATTAAATCTTATTATCCAGACTACTGGCTCTATAGATTAAAACTCAAATGTTCCAAAGTATTTATTTCATAATACATGTTAATTTTTAAATATTGTGTAGCTACAGACTGTAACTCCTTCATTCAAATCCCAGACTTTTTATACAAAAGAGCTTTTAAGAGTAATCATTTATTAGGAAATAATATCATGAAATGGGTTACTAAACATACAAGCTAGGATTTTAAAATTTTCTGGAAAAAAAAATACAAATATATATATATATAAATACATATTCATATAACTAAAATTTAAGCATAAATATATATTCATGTAACCAACAATTATATTACCATTTTCAAAAGAATTTCAAAATAAATAAAACTAATAAAATCAAAAGAAAAAATTCAAATAACTCACAATGCAAGTGTCTAATTGTCCTTGAATAACATCAGGATCTTCTGAGTGAAGTTCCAGCAAGTGAATCTGTTCTTCAATACTGCCAAGTTCCCGCTTCACATGGCTCATCTTTGGTTCAAAGTCTCCTGGGCGTTGAAATTTTTGAAATTTCAGGCTCACATCATCAAAATGACGCTGAAAAATAAAATTAACATGTTAAAAGAAAATATGTTTTTTTCCCTTTATTAAAATAATAAGTAAAATAAAAAGTAATTTTTTTAAAACATAATGCAAAAATCATTTCATGCCTAATGAAAGAAAATTTAAGCAATGACAATAAATCATCTTTATAGTCTTCAATAATAAATAAACCAGATCAAAAAATTTTGACAAAAAACATTCCATCATGACTTTGGGTCAGCCAACCTTATCTATAATGAGGAGAATTTCTAAACCTATAAGCATCTTTTCATGCTAAAATAATTTATTTTGGGTTAGGACTACAGCTACTAAAAATTATGAATGAATAGAGATTTTTAATTTTTCAGAACAATATTACAGTGTACTTCAAAAGAAATAAACTTATTAGGATGCTTAATGCTTGAAAACTATGCACAATGCTATTTCCAATTTCATGCATCAACTAGGAAGGGAAAATAAAAACATTTTAAATAACCAACATTTTTTTTTTATAAATTCCCCAATATTTAACTATATATCATGATCTGGGATCAAATATCTTTCATAATTATCAAGTAAACTTTCTTTTCACATTGTCTGTTAAAAATATGTATTCATGAATTTGGCTAGATCAAAAAAAATTCTAAAATTCCCAGCACCCCATTATCATGTGTATATGTAGTCCTACCAACATAATAAATTTAATCCAGTGAAGTCCTGAAGGACGAAACGCATCACAAATAAACTTTTTCCACTTTGTTATACAATTTCTCCAATACTGTTCTTGATATATAAAAATATTTATCATTATCTCATATGCATTCATGTAAATTTTTACAAAATTATAAAGTATTTGGAACAAGATTTCATAGGATTATGCATGCAAAAAGAATTTTTTGTACATCAGATAATAGTACATGCAACAATACTCATCATAGTTATTCTTACAAATTAAACTTATTAGTTAACAATTGTTATGTTAAATAGATTAGTTTGAGAAATCTGTAAGTTGTACATATAAATCTTTAAAAGATAATACAATCTCATTTTTCATTTTAAGAAAAATGTATAATTTTGATCTTCTAAAATACTCTATTTAAAAAAAAAAGTATCATATGAATATTTTAAACCTTCAATAAATTGTTTCAACTTTCTTTTCCTAATGCTAATTGTTTGTGTCTGAAGGTTTTGACAAACAGACATTGCCTTTTATTCACACAGGTTGTATTTGATTTTAACTGCATTTAAGAAAAGTCATCCTCCTTGATTTAATAATTTATCTACAAAGTTTTACAGCATTAAAATCTTTTAAAGTAGCATGTTTTAAATTCTTACATATAAACATATTTGAACATTTTATAAAATTAGTTATTTTTATGTAAGATTTTTTTATAAAATGAAGATAGATTTTTTCTCTAAGTTGAAGGGATATATACTACACTTTAATTTGAGACAAAAGTGAAAGATTTTGTTTATATTGCAAAATTAACATACAAATAATCAAGTTTCTCAATTCTGTTCTTTTCTTTGTTCTATCCATATCCATTGTTATTTTAATATTAAAATGAATGTGAAATCTTAATTAAGAATTAGAAATGATTCTAACAAGTTAATTTCAACAATACAAGGTAACCTTTATAATTACAAATATTTTTATTTAATTTATATCAAAAGGATTTCTTTTTTCATTCAATCTATTATTCCAACCACTAACTAAACTAAACTAAGGTAATATCAAAACACTACCAGTTGTTTTTATTACATTAACTGAGTAGAAACACAAAATAAAAACATAGAACATACTTACAGTAGATAGAATTTATTTTAATATATAATTTTTAACAAAGATTTTAAAAGGACAGAGAGAAATAAATCACCAAAGCTTGTTATGCAGTAATTGTAAAGACAACACATATATTTATTCCACATTAGTGTTTCTCTTTTTGTGTGTTTATATGTCAAAGTGTGTCATTAGGATGTGAGAAACTGCTAGCTGAATAACAATGTTCTTGACATTTTGATATTTAAATTGGCATCTTCAAATAAATGTAATTTTTACATAGTTAACATACAAAACAACATTTAAAGAGTAAAATGTATCCAATATTTATGAGTCATTTAATTTCCATGTCTTAGTTTCGTAGTTAAATATTTACTTTCAAATCAATGTTTTTCATTTAAGTTCAAAAATAAACAGAAATATATCTACAGTTAAAAAATTATCATTTTTTATGTATATTAATCCTTTTAATGTCCTTAAAATATAATAATTAAGCTATTCTCTTATTTATTTGAAAAATGTTTGATAGATATTAAATTCAGAATATTTTAGATAGATTCAACTTTCTTATGATATAAAAATATTGCTACGGTAAAAACATTAAAAGATCATATAGTGCTAAACATTAAATCAGTAAACTAAACAAATATGTATTCAAATCAGTACTTATCATTGTGTCTATATACATTAAGAGTATCTGTATAATTTACTGTGCAAAAATATTTTAATACTTTTTTAAATCTCATAAAACTAATCTTAATAGGTTGAATCTAAATAGCTCACTAATGTAAGTGTTTCTGCTATTTTCACTACATTAACCTCTCAACTGTAGTATCGTTATTGTTAATTTCACTCAAAGTTGTTTTCTGTTTTCATAGCAGGATATAACAACACAGCTATGAAATTCAAACACACTATTGTTCAGGGATCAGCCACCTTCAATGGCAGGATAAACTTTTTGTATCACAAATGAAATCACATACAGAGTGATAAAGGTTAATACACAAATTGCATCCCACAAAACTCACTAAGAAAGGATTAGACATGCATGCAAAATGTAATTTTACTGTTTTTTTTCTTTAAGTACAAAAATCTTGTGTACAAAGTAATTTATAAATTTCTAGTAATTGCTATCTTATTGGTAAATGTTTGATATTATATCTTTTACAGATGAAATATTGATACTTTTTGAGATATTTTCATGCTCAAGTATCATGCTTTGTTGTAAGATTTCATAAGAGGAGCAGATACAAGAGCTTCCCTGCCTCAAAAAAGAAAGATAGTCTTGCAAATATTTTCAGCTATCTCTCAAAAATCAAGGAAGATGTAAAAAAGCAAATAAATTGTGGCTTCCATTAGCATGAATAATTGTTTCAATATAGCTGGGAAGAAATACAAACATAATCCTTTATCATCTTTAAACTTCATTATGCATGCATGTGATATGTTGCAGTGTTCGCTAAATTCTCAACAGCTACACCCAATAGATACAGTTTAGTTATGGAGAACCCTAGGATGGGCCTAAATAGATGCATACACACACACACACACACAATTCCTTAGTGATCAACTATTTATTCAAAATAAAAAAAAATTCACATGTATAGACATAGTTAAACCAATAATTTAATAGATGAAAATAAAAGCATTTACATAAAAATTATAAAAAAATTATAATTTTATAAAAATATTTATTTCTCAACATAATCTCCTTTCTTGTTAATGCACTTAATTTAATGCTTCTCCAGCTTCAACAAATCAAAAAAAATTTCACACATTCCCCACTCCAAATGTTAATGATTGCATTAGGTTATTGGGCTAATTGGAGACAACTAATTGTATTCCATGTTTAGATTGTTTTTCACGTTCAAAGTTTAAAATCCAAAATGGTTATGAACTGCCATCAGTGTGAGGTACATACAATGTATGTATGGAAGTAGTAATAGTAGTACAACCAATGACATTTTCTCTAATATTATTAACTAAGTCTATTAACTAAGCCTTGAAACCATGTTACTTGTGTTACTAACTGGAGATCATACTTATTTGACCTATTTAAATTTTGAAAAGAAATTTTAACCCTGAAAATGATTGTCTTAAGTAAGTTTATTATAGAAGACACTTAAGTAGATTCATTTATTTTCTTTTGTTTTACTTTAATGTTACAATGTACACCATTTTATGTTTATTGAAAAAAAATTTTATGGAGCAAAATTTATGAGAAATAGTTTTCATAAAATTGTAATAGTTTTCTCTAATCTTTGTTCTTGTTAACAACAGATTTTGACAATAAAATTTTATTTTTCAAGTATAATTTGTATTTTTGTTTCTCACACATGTCTCAGTTTATTTATTTATTTATTGTGGTTTGAGTGATTTTATAATATTGGGTTTAATGCTTGGAATATTTACCAGAAACTATCTAGAGAATGAACTTGATAAATTAAGACAAAATTTCAATAATGCATATTTTATTACAACAAAATATGTTATTCAAAAATTTTATAATTAGAATAACTAAATTCTTCAATTGAAAGTTAATGTAAAAGAAATTTGATTCATGACATAACTGCTCAAGATGTGAATATTTGTTAGATGAAGTACTGATCAATTACTAAACCTAGTAACTAATATCTACAAAGATATAAAAATGTCTATTTTTATGTAGTAGATGATATTACACAAAAAGATTGTCCTAGAAAGGAGAAGATATTTAATGATACAGCTTTGTATTACCAAGAGTATAGGGATTTTTTAAAAATTCCACAAGATTCCACAATTCAATGTTTCTTTTTTGTTTTATGATATATTTTTAACAATTATTAAGGCGAAATAAGAATCAACCTTAAAAGTTTTGAAATTGTCTTAAAATTTTAGCAAGTAGATTGTTACCCTCATCTTCATTGCCATATTCACAACATTTTGGCCATTGTATATGCCAGCCTTCTTCAGGTGATTGGAATTTCAAACCAAATCCTTTATTTCATCCACGGGGATAAACTGTTCTAGTTCCATGTACCATGCCTCTTCTGGATGTTTCAGTTATTTCCCTTTAACTCAACTAAGTTTTTTGGTTTACCACTGCTGTAGCCTGGTACTGAACTCACAACTCTTTGGGTCTAGTTACTGGATCTAACCAACACCTTTATCCACTGGGCCATGTGTCGGTACAATGGCTGAAATGTTGTGAATATGGCAATGAAGATGAGGTATAAAATACATAACACAGGTAGGTTGTTCATATTCCATAAAATAAGGGCAATTAATGTGTTCCAATATTACCAAAATTGTTTCAATCCATTGTTTTTTTCCTAAAGTATTTTTAGGTTTTGTTGATGAGTATTTTTGTAATAGTTGAAATCACTTTTTGATTAATTTATACAAATCATTTACTCTGCTTTCTGATTAATAAGAAATAATAATTGATTCTTAGTTTTAGGTACAATTGTTAATTAGCTAATTATTGGATATCACTGACAATTTTCTCAATAATTATAGGTTATTAACAATTTAGGACTAATAAACATGCCTTCAGTTAGCAACATCAGCTGAATGGTTTCTTAAGATAGCCTCTTGTTTTTTGACACAATCATCCATAGAGATCACTTTTATATCATTCCACACAAAATATATTCCTGATTTAAATCTTATCAAAATCTATTAACCATGAAATGTCATTATGCCCATATACCCACACTCTATTCCAAATCAGACAAACCAATCTTTAAGTGAGAACCAAGAGTTACTTGAATTTCAAACTATGAATTGATTGTTTCAAGTAATAAGATATTTCTTAATCATTTCATAGGAATAATTAGCAAAATTAAATATTTTCTTTTAACTATATGTATAGTGCTGTCTTTGTTTTTTTGTTTTTCAATAACCAGTTTGGATAAAAAAAAATCCAGTAATGTTTCTTACAATACAAGCATCATATAACACTCTTTTTTAAACATTTAACTGGAAAAAATAGTTTTTTAATTGTTTTGTGAGCACATGAACATAATCATGAAGATCTGACATATGAATATTATTATTCTTATATTTAAAAAGTGAAGTATCTTTATGGAAAAAATTCATGAGTAAAAACCAAAGAACAGATTATATAATGTACATATAAAGATTAAATTAAAGCATAATAACTAATCTAATTGTGAATATAATTTAACAAGATAAAATACAGGCAAAAAAAAGGGAATAATATATAATTTTTAGTTGCAAATTTAAGGAATTTAGTCTTGTACTTACCTTAAGAATGTGTGTCTGCTGCATGAGTCTGCTACTTGCTTCAAGCCTTCCCTGTTCCTGATAGACAATAGCGCTCTTCTCAAGTTCATTCAAAAGTTCACTCTGCTGCCTGAACTCCTCCTTTAGTGACTGCAATAAAACAAAGGTCAATCCCATCAGTCACAACCATAAAGATCAGCCAATCTTAAGAGTTTATATAGCCTACACATCTATTAACATCTATATGTCATGTGGACTAGGATAACATTAATGGGATAATTTGAAAGATTTTTGCTAAACACACACACAAAAGCAAAAATATCAGAACATAAACATAACTACAATACATTAACTCATTATCTTGTCATTACTGCAGGATTTGTCAGTTGTGAATTTTGGAAACCCAGAAAAACAAAATATTACCAAATTATCAAGAGTTGATCTAAAAAGATAATATGGAAAAATATTCTGCAGATAATATCAGTGAAATAAAAGGTGCTTGAAAGAAAAAAAGAAAGACAAGGAAAGATTTTATGTTATAAATAAATACTGGTAAATGTAAAATAACAGAGATGTCTTCCTCTGCTTCTGGTCTCAACAGTGTTTTCAGCAAATATTACATCATTTAAATAACAAGCATGCTGACCTGTCAAGTGCTTTTAACAGGTCACAAAATGTTTATATTTTCCAAACTAATAGACAACTATTTGAAACAGTTTTTCATTGTAAAATATAAGAAAATATCCCCATTTGGAGGATTTAGTCATGAATGAATTTACTTACACGTTATTTAAACTAAAATTTGGATATGAATGGTTTTTCAAGACCACATATTTGTATGGACAATGTAGGAACACTTGTCTAAGATTTAGGATGAAACTAAAAACTTATACCAATAATAATAGACTTATATATGTTTAAATCTCCATTTAGATGAAACAATATCAAATACTACAACATGAATGCACATGATAGCAGCAAAATACAATACACCTATTAAGAAGCCACTTTGCATTTTCTATCAAGAGTGACTGATACATTCTTGCTAACTTAATTCATTAGTTACCCAGACTGACAAACACCTGAAGAAGACCAAAAGGTACTACAGCTGAAACATTGTGATAATAACAAAGATGAGGACAATAGTCTGCATGTAAATAGTACCTTTTATTATCAAAACATCCAATAAATAATAAACGCATATTGTACTTGTTATTATGCTAAAATAGGTTCAGTGGAAATGGAAATAAGATTCTCAATCAGTATTTAAACACTTGTCTTTCTTTTCTTAACAGAGAAAAAGTCATTTTTGAACAAGATCGTCACTTGTAATGAAAAGCTGATTTATTATGTGAATCTAAAATGAAGAAAATTATAACCAGATCTAAAACAGGCTTCAACTTCTCTGTAAACAGAATCTATTGGAGACAAAAGATCTGTGTGTTTGGTAAGAGATTACTTATTACAAACTATTGAAACTCAAACAAATTGTTATTGTTCAAACCTAGTGTAAACAACAGGGGTGTCTGAATGATACATTTGAAGAGAAAAACCTTTTTATTTCTACTGAAGGATGTTGACCATCAATATTGTTCAACCTAATATTGCAATACAGCCCAGCAATTGTCAAAGACACCCACCCAGCATATTCTGCAGGTGCTATCATTTTCAAACATCTGTTTCCCACAATGCAACACTTGGTGCTTGTCCTGTACCCCATACAAGATTAAGATATAAACAAATTCATTGAATCAAAATTGGATTTATTTCTAATGATGTTATGCACACTTTACCTGAAACATAATATAGCAAAGACTTTGATGACTGAATAATGATACTATGAATTCATATGAATAAAAGAGTTTACCAAAAAAACATGCTGGAATCTTCTATAATATTTTTCTTAAAAGTTAATCTAACCTTTTTTCTTTTTTTTTATATTGATGCAAGTTTCTATATTATACTTCTTTTATCATAAATAAGCAATATTTTAAAGATTTAAAATCTTAAAAGGTTAAAGAAAAGGAAATTACCTAAATGACTACTAAATTTATACTCTTTAGATTGTATTTGACTGCTAATGATTTCTTTAATAAATTGTTATTTATCAAAGAAAGATAGTATTTCTTCATTTTTACAAGGTCTATCTAGAATGTATCCAGACATTATGTATATCTCAGCCTAGCTTCAATATGATTAGGCAACCTATCAGAGGGAACCTTACTGTGCATGCATGAACATAACCTTCCCTATGGCGTTACTCAGACGGCAATTGAACACCATTGTGTTGGCTGACAGTTGTATCCACAGTAAATATACATCAAGTTTTGTTTGAAACCTGAACATTCATCTGAAAAAATTATTTGAATGATGATATTTGAGAAGGTTTCAATGATCACGACACTTAAAATTGACCAGTAAAATGATCCATGTTCTAGAACATCATCAACAAATTGATAACCTAAAATGTTGATTGTGTTGGAAATCAACAACTGTGAATTGCATAGACTGTCCAGGAAATATCCAGCTATTTTGAATATCTTTACATTTTGTACATGGTTACTGTGAGAAGATCGTCATTCTACTTTCTACAGTCTATACTCAGTCTGCAAATTCTGGCTTTTTCCAAAGTTAAAACTGCTAATTAAATGGAGATTTCAGACTGTGGTTAAAGAAAATTCACTAAGGTAGCTGATAGTGATCCTGAAAGTGATACTGGAATAAGTCTGTTAGGTCCCAAGGTACTCTGAAAAGACCTAAGGTATCATTACTTTTTGTTAATATTAAATTGTCAAATAATTTCCAGATAAATTTGGGTGCATTGTTTAAAATTCATCATGAAAGATTTTACAAGCAACAATCAAAACTTCAATTTTCATTAAACCCAAATGTGGCAAGAAACAATTTTATTTTACAGGTATATTTTTTGTTTTCTTTTGTTTTAGCATTTCTTCATAATCTTATCAGATTTTTCTTTTATTTCTTTGTGAAATGCTTAAAGCTGCAAAAAATATCTATTCATTTTAGATAAATAAATCTCTGTCTGTAGCCCTCATAAGTTTGGGTGAGAAACTGTATTAAACTCAAATACTGAACTCTTTGGTCATAGCATTAATTTCTTAGAAATAATGTTTATTGATATTTCTGTTATGTGTTTATATCAAAAAGAAAGGTTCAGAGATACTGTGATACTAAACATGGATTCTATATTATATAAATCAAGTGGAAACCAAGCATTTATAATTTTATTTGTTTGTAGTAGCAAATGCTGAACTCAAAATCTTAGTCAACTGAAAGCTTCAAAGATTTTACTCTTGAAGAGTAAAAAGTGATGTCAAAACTTTTGTCTTGACTAAAAAGTGAAGATGATTAATGAATAATGTAATTAAAAAGGCCAGGACAGAATAGGGACATGTAAATCTGGAAAATAGTTCTAAAGATTCAATAGGGAAAACTATGGGAAATGCTTCAGAGCTCAAAATAAACACATTAATTGATGAATGACTTTAATTAAAAGCATTTGTATTTTTGTCTTTTCATTGATGCAATGAAAAGACAAAATTGATTATTAAATTGATTAAATTATTTAAAAATTTAAAAGTTTTAAATTGATTATTACAGTGCATGTGACCAAAAAAGTTTGTTAAGCTTAAGTAAAAAATAAAAAATACTTTTTACTTTCAGAATTAACTTTATTGAATAACATATTTACCATTTTATTCCATTATATTTTTTCATCTTGCCGACAGCTTCATAATTCTATCCTCCTAAAATATTTTTAAAATCTTTCTCAGCAAATAACTGCTTTAGATTCCTTTTACTGTATTCCATGGAAATTATTTTTTTTAATAAAATGAATTACATAAAAACTAGAATAGCAATCCTAAGGTGCTAATTCTAGTGAATACAATGGATGAATAAAAACATCTCAGTTAAACTGTAACAATTTTTGCCTGGTCACTAAATGAACAATCAATCTAACATTTACCTGTTAGAATATTATGCCATTTCTATTGACAAAATCTGAACACATTTTGCAAACTATTTCTCCAAAAGATTATAGCAAAGGATTCCATTTCAATCCCATCACTCATACAACATTAATTTTTGCCTTTGGAATGATTAGAGGAGGTTCCTTTCATTTACTACATAATATTTTGCATTTCACATTAGATCCACTTTTCATTGCTTGTAACAATTTCTAAAAATAGAACAGTTTTGTTTATGCAAATTCACTAATTGTGTTACTTGGCTCTACATTCATCAAAATACATGTAAAGTATTTCACAGACTTTTACAATCTATATTTCAAGTTGGCAATATATTCATTAACACTAGTTCTGAAGTTAAAAACAAAAAAACTCATTCTTCTTGTAGTGATACTAGCAAATTAGTATGCATAATTTGCATAAGCACAAGTGAACACTCATATAAGTGGTCACTGAGAATAACGAAGTAGTAAAACGAGCTTAGCGGCTGATTAGTGTTAACCTCTACATCACAACAATGGCGTCGCCAATAGGATATCAATTGTCTCTGGAAGATCCAGATTTTGTGGATACATGGATTCGTTGTTTCTCTGCCACTGCGAGAACAAAAAAGTTGAAAGACAACAAGGAAAAGGGAGGCGAAAATGAAATCACGGATTTATTTTTGGCTACAGCTGGATGTGAGGCAATAATGAAAGTCTCCACCATGGAATATGCCTCAAATTTGGAAGACCTGACTTTCAAAAAAATAAGTCAGATTATAAGAAGAAATATGAGACCCAAGAAAAGGCTGGTAGTGGCAGAAAGAATGAAATTCATGTCGATGAAACAAGAAATTGACGAACCAATTATAAAATATCTACACCGTCTACGAAATGCAAGTAGATATTGCGAATTTGAAAAACTCGGACAAAACGAACAGACTATTGAAGAGGGCTTGATTCAATTAAGGTTAATTGAAGGTATGTGCAATGCATCACACCGATATAAAATAATGGAGCAACTACAAATAGGAAATATGTCTTTAAATATATGCATTGACTTTATTCAGCAACAAGAACTAATACAGAAATACAACCATCATAAAAGTCAACCCAGCGAACAAATATTCGCTGATACGTACATGTTAAAGAAGATAAAAAATGTGTTCGTATTGTGGACGTGAACACGAAATGAAAAAGGAAAAGTATCCAGCATTTGGAAAAACTTGTAATAATTGCTTAAAAAAGAACCACTTTCAAGCAGAGTGTAAATTAAAAAAGAAAAACGTTGAAAGAATTGAAAAAAACAACACCAATAGGGAAGTTTTTACATTAAAAAATAAGAGTATAAAAAAAATTGAACATAAGAAAAAAGACATTATAGTAAAGGTCAAAATTAATAACTACAATTTAGATACGCAAATGGATACTGGGAGTGAAGTAACACTGATACCAAAAAATTTTTGGGAACGCATTGGTAAGCCACCTTCACGAAAGAACAGTTTACAACTCCACCAATTTGATGGGTCAGTTATAAAAACATTAGAATACTTTGAAGGTTCATTAGAGTTAAAAGAAAAATTTGATCTAATACCTAAGGTTGTTACAAGTTGCAAAAAGAACCACGGACTTATTGGAAACGACATGCTTAACATAAATTCTACCAAGTTAATTAATGAAAGAAAAATGGAAAAACCTGGAAAATTAAAAAACTATGAAGCAAGTTTAAAAGTAAAAGAAATTGTTTCCCCCTCTTATTATGAGGCACGAAAATTACCAGTACATTTATTGCCATTAGTAGTGACAAAACTATGTAAATTAATAGAACAAGACCTTCTTGAACATGTTCCACCTGGAGGTAACAAATGGGCATCACCCATTGTAGTTTTGAGAAAAACAGATGGTGATTTACGTATTTGTGGAGATTACAAAATAGGAGTGGAAAAGGATGCCATATGGAATAAAAACCGCAAGCGCCATATTTCAAAGGGCCATTTAACAGGTTTTAGGAAATGTACAAAATATGATTTGTTACCAAGACGACATATGCATAGGAGCTACTAATGAAAAGGAATTAAAAGTGAAAACTGACTTCTTGAATAGATTAAGAAATGCTGGAATGACAATAAATGAGAAAAAAATGCGTAAGCAATTCTAACAAAATATCTTTTTAGGTTATTCCATTTCAAAAGAAGGTATATCACCAGACCAAGCCTTGATAGATAAAAAAATACTAAAAGTAGCTACACCTACAAATAAAAAGAATTGGAGTCTTTTTTGGGATTGGTAAATTTTACAGGCGATACTTACAAAAAATACACGGACTTGACGGAACCGTTTGAAAATTTAAGAAAAAAGAATGTGGAATTTATGTGGTCAGACGAACAGCAAAAAGCTTTTGAAAGATTAAAAGAAATTATGTCAAAGAAACCTGTAGTGAAAATGTTTGATCCACAAAAGGACATAACACTCACTACAGATGCAAGTGAACATTCAATATCAGGAATATTTTCACAAGAAGGACATCCGATAATGTATTTATCGAGAAGATTAACAAACACTGAATTTAATTACTCGAACATAGAGAAAGAAGCATTGTCTATCGTGTGGACAACTACTAGAGCCCGACAATTTTTAATTGGAAAAAAATTTCTATTAAGAAGTGATCATAGACCATTAGAGTTTATATTTAACCCAAGGAAAGAATTACCCAAAGTCACGACATCAAGGATTCTACGATGGGCAATAAGATTGATGGCATTTGACTTTGATATAGAGTATGTCAAAGGAAATTCAATTCCACATGTGGACGCACTATCAAGATTGAGGTTCTACAAGGAGTCAAAAGATAAAACAGAGTAAGAATTTGAAGATTCATTCCTACACTTGATAGAGACTGATGTTTTGTCTTTAGATAGAATGGCTGCAGAAACGAGACATGATCCAGTGCTAAGTAGGATAGTATCGAGAATAAGAAAAAAACTCATGGGGAAATTGTTCTAGGGCGGAAAGACCCTATAAAGAAATAAGACACAAATTAACAATAGAACATGGAGTGATTTGTAATGGGGACCTGGTAGTTCCCCCAGAAACACAAAGAAAACCGATAATAGAAAGTGTACATGATGATATACACTGTGGAGTAGCAGCTACACAAAAAGGATAAAATTAGAAGCTTGGCGGCCGGGATATTCAAGAGACGTTGAGGAATATGCAAAAAGGTGCAAAAAATGTAAAGAATTAAGGAACTTTACACAAACCAAATTACATTCATGGCCCAAAGAAGTGGAGCCATGGAGTTGTGTGCATATGGATCATGCATACATTAATGGAGTGGGACTCTTATTAATATTAGTAGACTCCTTTTCAGGTTGGCTTGAAATAATCCGGGTTACAAACAAGAAAAGTTCTACTATAAAGCAAATTCTAAGAGTCATATTTTCCAGAAATGGCGTACCAAAAACCTTGGTATCTGATAATGCACTCGAATTAGGGTGTAAACCATATAAGACACCTCCATATCACCCTCAATTGAACGGATTAGCAAAAAGAATGGTGCAGACCATAAAAAAGGGACTAAAAGCATGCTCTCAGCAAAAAGAAAAAGTAGAAGTTTTTCTACCGAGGCTGCTTTTAAGTTATCGTACAATACCACATGCGGGAAGACTAGAAAGCCCATCAGCTTTAATGGGAAGACAGATTAGAGCTCCGCTAACGATGTCGTATTCTACAAATGAAAAAATGTGTTACAAAAAGAACAAAGATGCAGATCCGGAAAGGGCAGAATTTATCATGCAAAAAGGCCACAATACAGCTATAATAAATAGAGAAAACAGCAATAGTGTATTAGCCCATGCAGACCAAATAAGGACCCAGGGTGAAGAGGAAGAGCAAAATGACAAAGAAATGTCTTCAATTCCGTCTGATAATGAGTTGGTAGAACAACCATTACAAAAGGAAACATCAGAAGACGAAATAATGCAGGATCAAGAGGGCCAGAATGAGTCTGAAAGTTTGGACGAAGACCAGATAAAGCAAGAAAACACATATGACTACAGCCTAGCGTGGGACAGATCTAGGTCTCCCAGGGAAAGAAATACGGGAGAGAGAAGTAGAACAAAGTGATGAAAATAGCATGAGAAGGAGTACAAGATCTACGAGAGGAATAAAACCCTTCCGTTTCAGGGAGATGTAGTGATACTAGCAAATTAGTATGCATAATTTGCATAAGCACAAATGAACACTCATCTAAGTGGTCACTGAGAATAATGAAGCAGTAAAACGAGCTTAGCGGCTGATTAGTGTTAACCTCTACATCACAACACTTCTGGTAGGTTTTAAGTGGTGAATTATCCAAACAGTGAATCAGAAACTGAAATAAATTTCAAATTCCTAATTGACTTGCCATTTGTAAACATAAAATAATTTTCATAATATTGACTTACAATACACCAAAAAAAAAAAAAAAAAAAAACTGTAAATGAAATGATTTTTCTAATGCTATTTATAATTTAAAGCCAGTGAGAAGTTTATCTAAATAAAATAAAATAAAAAATTTTCCATTGTACTTTCAGCAGGAAGGCCTTTTATTTCCAAGTCAAAATGTTATAACAATATTTTTAAATAAGATGGTATAATAGTCTAACCAAAGTGTCATAAGTTAGAATTATGTAGCTACAGGTACTGAAGCAGTGATTTAAAACAATCACATCAAAAATCATTAAAATTGTGCAGTTCTAGTCATTAAGTTACAGAATTTGAAAAGTTGTTTTTAGACTTTTTAGACTTAATTGGATGTAAAAATATAGACAAATCCTATCATTGTGTGCTCACCATCAGTTTGCTGAATGTTGAAAGGTAAGTATAAAAATTAAGATAGAAAAAGTTAAGATAAAATAAATTGAATGATAAAGGACAGTGAATTTTAATGAAATATTACCTCATATTCTTGTGGAATATCTTCTGCTAGTACATCAGCATCCAGCCAAGACTGTAAATGCTTTGAAATATCTGTCATCCACTGAGACAATTCCAGCATATTGCGTTCAGCTTCTTGGGCTTGATGTGCTGAATGTTCCAAAAGAGTAACTCGACTTTGAGCCTGGAAAAAAATGTATGCTATAAATACAAAGATCATCCTAATTAAATGAAAATATTTATAACAATGTCAAGTATAATAAAAAAAAAAAATCATATTGCTTTTTACTAAGAATTTTTTACACTCTTATTTTCCAAAATGAGAGTTTAGATATTGTAAAAATAAAAATAAAAATTATGCTGAACAGTCTTATATATAAAGTACAGTGTTTGTGTGTGCGTGTCTGTGAGTGTATGTCCAAGCAACTCCTCCACTTATACTGGTTTGATTTCAATGATTCATAGCTCATTCAAAAGCCCTGGAAAAGTTAGGCACAGAGAACAATTTTAGTTGAGTTCAGATTCAGGGTTGCCAGATTATGTGGGATTAAAAATATATATTAATATATTATACCAGCCATTATCATTGCTTTCATGGTTCAATGGAATTAACTCTTATATTCCTTCTGTATCCAAAATTGCAGCTAGCTTAACATTTTATTGTGCAGCATTTAAGCTAGCTCCTGTAAAGGGTTCTTGATTGGGTCTTGATCACAATAGGAAGGGAGGAGTAGATGCAATAGGCATCAATAAACTACAGAAGAACTCTAAATTGAATGCTGCATTTAAGTATTGAATTAATGTTTAAGCTTACCTTTTAAAAGTTCAATGATAATTCTTCTGCTGCCACTTAATTTAAAGACAATTTGATGTATATAGATCCTTATTTTCCATACAAACAATTATTTTTAATATTTCATGGATGACAAAACAGGACAATTTATAAGACAAAATTAATATAGTGTAAAGATGGTAAAATAGAAATTAGAATTAGTTATACATTCAACATTTGAAGAGTTAGAGAAATGTAATAGCTAATTTAGGTAAAACCTATATTATGGAATCTATATGAATAAACGCAAAATTGGAGCTCAATTCTCCCATGAATTCTGAAATTAAAAAGGTCCAGCTCTACTTTATAGTAATTTGGTGTTTACTCTGCTGTGATAAAAAATATATATATGTTGATAAAGCAACAAAAATACTATCAAACTTGTTGCAGAAAAATTTCTGGCCTTTATTCATGTTACCCTCCTATCTTATGTTAACTATTATGAGGAGAAAGGAGTGTCTTCTGGAACATGTGAAGAAAAAAAAAAGAGCATGCATGAATAAATTAACATTTAATGAACATAAGTCATGACATGGAATATTTGGCAGTAATAAAAGAATGTCATATGAAGATTGATAAGTATGTCAGAAGTTTTGTCAGAAAGAATTCATGTTGATGAAAGTTTATGTTAATTGATTTTCTTAAAGGATTTCATTAATTGCTAATATGGTGCTGGTTGAAACTAATTCAGGCACTCAGCACAGGTCTATTTTGAGTTTGCTTCTAGTGGCACCCAGTGCTCATCTTTTGGAAGATAAGAGACAATCAAAATTGGTTAAAAAAATCTTTTGCTTTTTTAGTGTGTGTGTGTGTGTGGGGGGGGATTTCTTCACAATCAACCTTTGATTTATTTACAGAGATAAAAAAGAAGCAGAACTTCACTAGTCTTGTACTGCATTTAAACTCAAAAAGTCTAGGTACCAGAGTAAAGAGCTCATCCAAACAAATTTTTAACAAGAAAATAACTATTCATAACCAAAAAAAATATTTCTGTTTTTTTTTAAGTGGACAATGTTGTTATTCTTGCTTGTGAAGGAACAAATATGTCAATTCTTTTTTTGCTTATATATATATATATATATATATATATATATATATATATATATATATATATATATATATTGCTTCCCTGGAGCATTGAAACTGAATGAATACATATACATGTTTTTTTAGTGAAATTATAGTTTTTCCATATTATAGAACTATATTACATTTTTTAGGCTTTGAAATCAGTCAACAGTTGTAGACACATTTGCCTTCTTTCCTTCTTATATAATCATTTGATCTATTTTATTAAGTATTTCTAAAAAAAGTAAAATTCTTAAAATTTTCATTTGTCAGATGTAGAAAAAGTTAAACACATTTTTATTCTCTACCTTTCAGTTTCCCAGAAAGATTAATATGAAGCTAAATTGAATTAAAATTTATTTAACTTTGAGCATAAATAATGAATCTTATTACTTTCTTTTTCTATTTAGTTTCTCTACTTTCAATTATATTCCTAAATTATGTGTTTTGTTTCATGTGAAATTTTTTTGGTTGATTATAGTCTTGCATACCTATTAATAAAATATTTTTAAACAAACTAAAAAAAAAAATTATTTTTCAACCATATTACATTGTCGACATAAGAATGCAAAGTTTATTATAAAGTCTATAAAAATATAAAAATGTTTACAATGTCAAAAATATACATAGTATGATCTCATGAGAAATAATTTATGGTTTGTACTCACCTTGTGCTCCAGTGAGTCACCCATTATTTTCAGTTGTTCCAATTCATCCTTCACAATATTCACCATAATACTGTTGTTGATGAGATCTTGGGATAATTGCTGAATTCGTTCCTTTGAGTCTGCTGGGTGTTCTCTCATCAAGCTCTCCAATTCCTTCATTTACACACACAAAAAAACGAAAACAAACAAAAAAAAACAAAAAAAAAAACATTTTCACTCTTGATACACATTATAAAACGGCAGCATGATTTTTTAAAAATTACTTTCACCTTTACATCAACATGATTTTTACATCAGTGTTATCATCTCAATGTAAAATTACATAAAATATACAACGCCAACAAAATTGTTCATTAGTTCAAAAACTTGATAATTACATATTATTTATTCAATTAGACAAAACATACAGAATATTTTGCCCATTATAAACAATGCAACTCATTCCCTTAAAGAGGACATGATCTTCTGTTTGTCAAGTTGAAAAGTTTCTTAAGCTGTTATGTTAGGTATTTTAAGATGTAATTGCTAATTTTATTTTAAGTTTCACACTTGTTATTAAACTAATATCTGTACATTTGTATATTACATTTTTGAAAGCAAATTGTGAAAATCTTTCAATAAATGAATTTTGTATTTTATAATTCAGGCTTGAATATAATGGAGTTGAAGTTATTATGGTTCAAAAAATAAAAAAAATTTCTCCTAGGTTCAGATCTCTCTCGTCTTCTTAAATATCCTCCTTTCTTGTAACCTTCAGGCCACCATGATCATTAAAAGATCATTTCACACAACATAGATGCATACCTAGGTTGGCGCTTTGCTCTCTCTCTGCAGCCTTTGCGTTGGTGCCATTTCATTTCTATCTCTTCCATGTTCAGCATTTACATCCTCATCATCTGCACGGAACACTCACCTTAAATCCAAAATATGCTTCAGTGTACCCTTAATGGTCAAGTTGTTAGGTGATTGCACACTAGTCATCACCACTCTTCCCCACTGCATCATACACAATGCGTTTGCTGGTTTCACCCAAACCTCATTAAGGAATGCATGTTCAACTTCTTCAAATTCCACCTCCTGTTCTATTTCTGTTTTCATTTTAGGGATGTGCCAAGTTCCAGTTATGGGGTCCTCTTTCTTTACCTCCGCTAGGATGATCCATCACTTCCTCTGTTGATACCTTTCTTACGTCTATCATGATGTCATCAATGTACAAACCAGTGGCTTCTTTTGTCTTATTGCCCTTCAATCAGCACAGTTTTTATGACTGCTGCCATAATTTTCAGTGCAGCATTGAGTCCAAATCCCAACTGAGTCAGGTAATAAGTTTTCCCCTTATCGTGTCCCAGCTGGTACTGCCATAGTTTCTCCATGATATGTAACTGCAGACAGGTAGGCCAACTTAAGGGCCATGATTGTAGTTCCTCCTGCCAACTGCCTCCCCTTTCTCATCTTTTCATCACACACATCGATTATGTCATTCCTAGTATGGCACTCTAAATAATGGTTCAAATCTCAAAAGTCTAATACTAGCCTGACTTTTCCTTTTGCTGCTTGGACCACTGCCATCAACAGTAACACTTCTTTTACTTCACCCTTCCATGGCAAGAGAATACCCTCAAATAATCCATCTTTCGACCTCCTCAAACTCTACATTTTTCTTCTTTCAAGGAATTCTTGTAGTACTCCACTTTGTTTCTTTAATACTGGAGACTCTCCAATCTAATTCCATTCCACAGTCCATTTCTTTCTGTTGAACTCTGCTATGAAGTCCTTGTCTTCAATTTGGCAAGAGTTTGGAACTTCGGCAGCTGTGACACAGTGTATCTCTCCAAACTTTACCTTGCCATTTTTTACAGTCACACCTCCCAGTTTATTGGTCATGACTATTCTGACAAAAATGTCAGTCCTGTTTGTGATGCAATCAATGATAATTGCCTCTGTTTTTATCCACATTCCGCCTACTTTTATCTCCTTCTGCTGGGTTCCTTTACATTTTACTTTCCTTTTGCCAACTGCTTTCACAGTGTTACTCCTGTGCTTTGTGCAATTGCTGCCACTGTTCTGGGCTCTCAAAGTCTTTTGCTAACCAAAAGCCTTGCAGCTGGTATCATTTTGCAGAGGTCCATATTTTCTACACCAAGCATTTGTTGCAGCACCACAGATACATTGTCCAGGAAGCCTTCACAAAAACTGGTTTCACTATCTGATCAAATTTTCTCCCTAGATATCCTGCTAGCTCCACCAAGCTTTAGATATTATTTGCATAGACATCCACTAGTTCTGCAGTTCATTTAACTCTCATAAGATTCAAAGGACCCTTCAGTGAACGCTTTCTTCAGTCTGGTCTTTATCATGTCCTCGTCCAACTGATTCTCATCACTCATTTTAAGGTAGAGGACAAGCTCATCTTCTTGCAGAAAAAGTGGAGGGAAACTACCTGCCTGTCAATGCTTTCTTTCTCCCCCCCACCATGAGGTAAGCAACATTCCATTTTCCATTCCATTCATCATTCAATATCATTTAAAATCTTTGAAAATTCACAAATAAACTTCAGTATAGACTTAAGAGAATTTTAATTATGTGAGAGAAATTACTAAAAAGGAAAAAAAAATTGGCAAATAAGTTTCACTTGAATTAAATAAAAAGCAAAAAAAAAAAAAACCCAACTGTACAAAGGTTTGTATTATATTCAACAGTATGAAATTATTCTGTTTGTATATTGTACCACATGTATATTATGGGGCATGTGGCCAAGTCATTAGAATGTTTACTTTCCAACCATGAGACTCAGGTTTGAATCTCAAAAGGAATGTGGCTTCCTGATGTTATCACCCTGGGGGAATGATCCCAAGTGTACAGCACCTTTGGAAAGTGCCTGAAAACCATACCACAGATTAACTCAAGCCTTGTAAGTAAAATTGGGTAGATGGAATTATTTGGAGCTATCGATGTTTGTGCTCCCACAAAATTACAAGTCATCATGTCTGAGGGTTTGAATGTTCTGACCTAGTTAAGACCCTCAGATCATGGCAGATGATGCCCTCTCTCCCAGAAACTGTAACTAAGTTCTGCTCAGTATAGTTGCAGTATAAACCACAGGTGGGCTCTGTGGGTGTTGCACAAACACAAATGCACCTCAACAGGCATCTTCAACAGGGATTGGTTAGCCACCCTAGTAGATATGCATACTTGGATACAAGTGGCCAGCCACCATCACAATTTCAGAGAAAAAATTGATTTTGCATAAGAATAATTAAAAAACATCACAATGGCTGGATGCAGAGGAGAAGCCAAAATCTCAACTAAAATTGTGGAAGATTATGGTGAATGTCCTTTCAAAGTTACCAAACAATTATTGCATATTAACACAAAAAACAGTTTTAAATAGTGAAGCAGTAATCAATATACTATCTAAAATTTTAAGAAGAGTCATTAATATATCCAACATTATATATAGAACTTAATTTGTTATTTTGCTACATAATATTCATCTTCCTGTTATAATTCTTGTTTATGGATTGCCTCCTATACACAATAAAAGGAATTCAAAAAGGCTGAGAGGAAATATTTTGATAGAACAAATGACTTTTCTATTATTCCCAGTTTAATTTGCTTCAATTAATTGACAATTTCAGGTTAAACAACCTGATTCTCAAAAACGCATGTGTCAAAAGTTTTTTTTGATAATGTGATAAATTATCAATACAAATGGTTAATAATTCTATGAACTTGCAACAGATAATTCCTTTGCAGATTGTCTCCCTTGCACTCTATTCATCCAGATGTTAAAGTTAAAAATGTTTATGGACAAATGAAGACATTGTCTCTTAAATATAATGCTAACAAATTCTCAAAGGATAAGTACTTACAGGATTAGTTTTTAAATTATAGTAATTATAATATTTGAAACAATAAAAAGAGTATTAATGCTGACAATAATAAAATAATAAAACTTACCTCAAGTTCCTCAGAGATTTCTTCAGCATCAGAACTGTTAGTTTCATGTAGAACTTTCTTTTTCAAAGCTTCTTTATATTTCTTTTCAGATTCCATCAAAGCTAAATTTAACAAAAATATTTTAAAAAATATTTTTTATTTTCATAGTTAGTTATTTGAACTTTAAGTTTTTTTTTTTTGGCTACACAAAAATAAATGATTTTCTGCCATAGTGATATTTCTATTAACATCAACAGATTCAAAATGTAACATATCTTCAAGTAAATAGTGATTTTTTTTTTTTAGATTATTTTCATAAGACTTTTAGAAAAATCAACATAGAATGTCATGATTAATGTTCCCATAAATTTAAAAAGTGAATTAAAATGAAAACCGATTAGGTGATATGCAGCATTAATAATACAAGATCTTTTTCAGAGAATACATATGCTATTTACACATTATGATTATATTTTGGTTTCCCATAGGAAAATTACTTTTGAAAACAGAAATTATTTTATAGCAAATATTTATTTCAATAATATTATGCTGTTGTATGTGTATAAAATCATTCATGCTTAGAAACATACATTTGAAAAGGTTCCAGTTAGTTTCAGCTTGTTCGTAGACCCCAGAATAGTACATCACTCGCTGGTAAACATCTCTCCACAAGGAATTCAGTTTCATCAGCGCTCGGCCAAGTTCCTGCAAACTTTGGGCCTTATTTAACAAAGCATTTGCATCTGTGTTCAGTTTGTTGACTTCAACTTCTTGTTCCATCACATCTTGCTTGAGAGACTAGAAACAATTTTTAAAATTCCTTTAAAATCAGTGAAGAATGTTAACATAAGAGAAACAAAGAATATTTGTTGAAAATGTAATACTTTAAAGAAAATAAGTTCACAATATTTTATTTAAGATATTTTCCAATTATTTTCAATTTAAATTATTAATAATTTTAAAAAATCCAGCAAAAGTGCTGGGCTTTTATATAAAATCTGAATGAAATGCAACTGATCTGAGTAGAATAAATCTTTTAAGATTGTTATTAATGCTAACTGGATACATAAATAACATTATTTGCCTCATTAGCTAAAGATGATGAAAAAATGTTTAATTGATATTGAGAAAATTAGTATTTAAAACAGAGCCAAAGTAAATTTAATAAACTTAATCCAATATGGTTCATAAAAAAGAATTTTTTTAAATCAACAACAGTCATCAAGAATTAAAATTATCCTGATTAACTTATCTTTTTCCTGACTAAATGTTATTGCATTGAAAAAAAAATTATTTTAATGGTAAATTAACCAAGGTTATTTACTAACAGAAATATATTGATACAAAGGTGATGTAGTGATAGGGAAATAGATAAATAAAAATAAATAATAACAAAGAGACCAAAATTTCACCATGACTAAAAATGAGTGTATAATCAGAATTGCCAGGCCACAAAGCCCTATTTTGACCACTCAATTAGAAAGCTTTCACAACCAGGATATAAGCCCATGAGACAATGAGAATCAAAGCAGCACTTTCAAAATGGATCTCCAGAGATGTACTTAAGTAGATGAAAAATCAACTAAAATCAGAATCAAAAAGTTTTATCCATTTTCCAATGCTGTAGTCATCATAACATAACCAGAGCCAAAATGCAACCAAATGATAACTTGAAATGGCTAAACCATCCTGCTACATTTAAAAACATATACACTTTTCTTTCTCTAGCATTTAAGTAGCCTTTTGATTCATTTAAAACAGCATTTCTCAACCAGTGCCCCCTTTGGGCACAAACTTTTTGTCAATACCCCCCTGTCAAATTAAATTTTGAATATTATACTGAATTCATCTTTCATAGAAAGATGACACTTAGGTATTAGTGCAAAAATAATATTAACACTGTTTTCATTTCTATTAGAAATGATAATGATTAAAATCCTAAAAAAACTTTTATTTGATAGCTTATCTCAATGTTTTCAATGCGATGGTTCACTTTGGTGCTTACTGGCTAAGGCTCTTACTCTAGGTTCCATGCTTCTTGGAAATAATCGTAAATCGCCTTGTTTTGTAATTTGCAGGCAGTTTCTTTCTTTAGTAAGAAGCTCTGTAACTGCATTGAAACCACATTCAGCCATATTGGAGGTTGGAAAATCAATGAAGAAACGTTTGACAGCTTTCCACAGCACTTGCAGAAATTTCCTTTTGTAACCAATATTGAATAATTTTTGAAAATCTGAAAAAATAAATACATGCCCACCCGAGTATGTTTACCACCTGCCAAATGAAATAAAAAAAACTCAGTGTGCACAAGGGGGCACTATTGCTTATTTTGGGAAACACTGATTTAAAACATATGTATTCCTTCACCCACATTGTTAAACAGGCAGTTGCTACATTTGGAGATTATATAAATAAAAATGAATATATTTTCTCTCTCTCTCTCTCTCTCTTATATATATGCTAGGACTTTTACATTTGGACTCTTGAAAGTTCCAACATTCACCTTATCCTTCTGTATTATTATATATATAAAGATGTATTTTGTATTTTTCAGCAATCTGTAGATTTTCTTTTAATCATTACACAATGCCAATATATACACCCAAACCAGATATAGTAATATATGGTGAGAATGGATATTGTCATAAGATAACCTCCCCAAATCCTTCCATAACTGATAACCTACCAATCACCATAATGTTTATATAAAAGTAGTAAACCAATCACTTTAAGAATTACCCATGATAATTTTTAATAAACTATCCTGATAAAGATACAGAAAATTAATAATACTGATTTTCATAGTTGAGCACTAATAACAATTATAAATATTATAATTAATCTTTGTATTTGTCAAGTTCTTTAACTAACCTTGAACTTTTTATTCTTTATTGATAAATCACTAAAACTGTCCACAGCATAATCTTTATTGTTCAGCTGTCGTTTATGTTGTTCAGCCCACATAGTGAGAGCCTCCAGTTTGTTAAATATCTCTTTGCTATACTGAATTGCATTGGCCAGCCGGGTGTTCTGTTCTTGGGCTAAACCAACCACTTTTTCCCATTTCTCATTCAACTCCTTCACTTGTTTCTTGACATCAGCAGTGAAAGGTGTGTCTGTCTGCTGAGATAATTGATTGCTTAGCTCATTAATGCTGTCAACATTATCTTGCAATGTTAAAATGTCCTCAAGAACACCCTGAAACAAAAATATAAAACGTTAAAAAGATTTAAAATTAAACAGTATCTCTTTTAACAAATTAAATTTTGCCATTTTTTATAGCTTATATTGATAATTGTTAAATATGTTTTGAATTCCATCTTTCAATTGCAGATCTATCAAATATAAAAATAGCTTTGTCTTCACAATATCTTAAATAAAAGAAGGCTGTATTATTAGAAACATTGGAATCAACTACTTCTGATGCAATGTTACATGTAATGGAATTCAATCACATTTCATCAAATTTTATTTCTACAGTATACTAAATATTAATCTAGATTTTATGCCATTTTATTGTTTTCTAATAATTACCATTTAAATATCAAAATTTAAATTCTACAAATCACAGAAATTCAGTTTTTTAATGATCTGACTGCTTATAAATCAAAATTTAGCAATAATGATGATAATTTCAACTTAAAACACCTTTTTCAATTCTATTTTTTGTACTGATGAATACAAAAAAGCCATGAGATTGACATTCTTGAGTGAATCAAAACTTTCAGTTGAAAACTAAGTTATATTTCCCTAACAATATTAAAAATTATTTTTTATATTTCATCCATCAACAATAGTTAATCACAAAATGAAGCTATATTAGAAAAAGTTAAAAAAAAATTAGAAAAACACATTGTGTTGATTAGTACTATTTAAATATATTTTAAGTTTAAAAGCATCCACTAGTTTCTGTAGTTGTTAACAACTACAGAAACTAGCAGTTACAGTAACTGGCCAGTAATTGGCAGTTATACAATGCTTTCACTAAAGGAATGATAGTTGATATTGAATTATCTTTAATTACAGAAATCATCATTTAGAAATCATTCATTAAAAACACTTTTCATAGACTTTATTCAAGATATGCATTACATAATAATAATAATAATGATCAGCTATTCATTTCTGAGCACACCTGTTTGCTAGGGTGACTAGCCAAACCATGTTGTAGATGCCTGCTCAGGCACATTTTGTATTTGTTCAACACCTACAGAGCCCACCTGAAGGTTTAAACTGAGATGACCAGACCCTTACTTACATGTTTTTGAACACCCTGAACAAGGCCAGTACACTCAAATCCTCAGTCATGATGACTTGTGATTTTGTGCTAGCATAACCAACTGCAGCCTCTAAACAGTTCAGACTCCCTAATTTCACTCACAAGGCTTGGATCAACACAGTGTAGTTTTCAGACCTTCCAAAGGTGCTACATGCAGAGATTACTTCCCCAGTCCATGAACTCACTTCCATGACAAATCAACTTCATGGCTGGAAAGCAAATGTCCTAAGCACTCAGCCTAAGCATTATACATAAAGCAATACAATATAAACATTGTTTCTTTTTAACTACTTTAAGTTATGTAGTTTTCTAAGTGTCACTATATGTGTTAAACAAACTTATGTGCACTGACAAATTCTTTATGACATTGCCATCAATTTTATGACCAAGATACACTGATGCTTAAATGCTTAATGACTTAGAAATTAACCCTAAACTTACATTACTCTCATTCATCTGAGCTGCAAGAGTTGGTAAGTCCCCAGTAGCAGGATCATCAGCATGCAGAAAAACATCCATTTCTTTCATCCATCGAATCATTCCAGTCATTTGATTCTATTAGAAAAATAAAAACAAAAGAAATCAATATCATTTGAAGACAGAAATTGAATAAAAGGATGTGGCAAACATCAAAACAACTTAAGATGTAGCTTGCAAATATTTTAAATAAAATTATAAACTATAATCTTTATTATTTAAATTTATTAAAATTCTGATTTATTATGAAAACATACTTATTCATTTGTTACATAAAATTCTGAGATGCAAAATTATCATGAAATGATCAAGCTTATATTTTCATTTTTTGTTTCTATCACTACCTTTTTGGTTGGTGTGCTCTATGTCTTTGTATGTTTTATCCGATAATCTTCAGTGAACTTTGCACAGAATCCCTTAACTTATTTATATTTTTTAAAACTTTTATCAACATTTCAATTATAACAATTTTCAAGTGCATCACACAACACAGATTCCTCTTACACTTGTAATGAAATGTTATATGAATTTTTGTCACTCAGGTCATTATAAAAAATAATGAATTTAAAAAACTGTAAATGTGATAAGAGAATGTGTTGAATACTTTCTACAGACTGTCAAATACAATATTCACTTGAAGAAAACTGGAAAGTTTCCTGACTGAAATGTATTGATGAAAACAAGAGAAGAAGATATTAGTTCAAGTGATTTATGTATATTGGTAATAGTATATGTGCAAAGGATTCTTTGACATCTTTCAATATTCATGATAGTGTTCACATTTAAACACATCTTTGTACCTAAAACAGGGTAAGAAAAAATACTACTCAGAAAATCATAGAATTAACATAAAAAGTATTACATTAATTAAACATAACATCTACTATTTCATCATTTGCAAATGCCAAAAAGTAACAAAAAACTCTTTATATTAATCTTTAGAAATAACTGTAAATCTTTTTCTATAAAACACAATCATATAATATTTATATTAGAAAATATCATAGAAAAGATAAATTACAATTTATTTTTGTTTACAAAATCATGATAATTCTGTTTAAAGATCACCTGAAGCTGTCTGAGTTGTCCAAGGGTCCTTTCTAAGGTCTCCATTCGTTCATCTACTGCAGAATACACATCACTCCATCTACAGTTCAAATTGACAAGATCTGACTCCAAGTTCTTGGCTTTATCATCTGTATGAGCTTTCTTAATTAAATCTTGTCCTGTTTTGTTCACATATTCAAGACTGCAGATATGCTCCTGAAGATCATTTTGAAGTTCCTGAAAAAAATTAAAATAACTTAAAAATTAATTTTCAGGTATAATCAAAAAATAGTTTTTAGATTTGTTCTATTAAAGATTAAGAATAAATGTTTGGTATTAATAATCATTTTTTGATATTTTCGTATTGTTCGTGTATTACTATAGTGTAATATTTTTGTATTGTTTGTGTATTATTATATTTTAATGATGTGAATAATATTTACCTTATACTGTTGAAATTGTTTCTCTAGACTTTCCATTCCATCCAAACGGATGTTCTCAGTATTAAGGATATCCTCCATATCACTTATCCATTTCAGAAGAGCACCCAATGCATCCAGATAAGTACGAGGTGGAGCTGCTTCTAAAGCTTTTACTAATAATTCTTCACGTCCCCCTAAATAAGATATTAAACAATCATTTATCTTCAATGTTAAATAATTTGAGAAAATAAAAGAATTCATTTTTCTTTTAAATTTCCCAAAGGGCAATTAACTTGAACAGACAAGAAATACAACAGAATACAACAAAAATGATCAACAGTGAGTATATCTACACAAATATATAATGAAATTATTTCCCCTCAATATATCTAAGGTAACGTCTTGGAGCTGAATTTATAGAACATTACTGATAGATATAAAGCCATTTAAAGAATTTTTCATCTGATTTAATCATAACTAAAAGAACTATTATTCTTATCTCTGGTACTTACAGATGTTGTTATTAAAGACAAGATTTCAGCCTAATGTCTTGCAGGATAGTGATGTAATAGGTAGAAGTATTGGCTAAAAGTGCAGCAGTCACTTAGTGGTTATGAGTTCAATCCCTGAATCATGAAGTGAAATCCATATACTGTGGTTCAACAGGAACAAATATCATAATCAACTAATACAAGATATTATAATTATAATATATTAACCAATAAAATGGACACCTGAAGATGACCAGAAGGTGATTGATTAAAATATTGTGTCTATAATAACATCCAAAGATGTAAATAATATTTAAAAAAGATCAAAGTATATTGACAATTTTTCATCTCAAGAATCAAACAACTTCATTAAAAGGAGTTTATAATTCACCTGTCTAGAAAAGAAAATGTCTAATCTCTAATTAAAGTTTGCTTCTAAGATATATTTGCTTCAACAAACTTTTACCTTATAACTTTTAAAGAATACAGCTTCAAAAATTTGACCTTAAAATAAAGTGTGTAGACTAAATGAAATTAATGCTACAATTTCACATGCATTTTATATTTAACAACAATATAGTTCAAGCAACTGAAACACATTAGCATGCAAAAAATATATTTCTTCTCTCTTCACATTCCTGAAATGATATTATAGTTCAATAGCAAAAAAAAAAAAAATTGAATATACTAAACAAAATAATAATAATGGACACAAATGTGGCAAACATACTTAATTGATAATTGTTAATCGTAGACTTGAACCCGAACTACTGCCAATCACAATGAACAGTTGTCCCCTCAGGGAGGCTCTGTGCATTGAGAGACTCTTGGGCCTTAAACTTACACTTAACCTCAAATGGAACTCATACATACAATCCATCACTAAAGCTGCAAGAAAACTGATTGTTTCCCTGGTACCATTCCAACAAGTACCTGACTTCTCATATTATCCTCTGCTTTTACAAGAGCAGGATCAAAGTACTATTGTCATATTTAGGTAGGAGCTACCCAGTCCTCACTTTCCAGTCTCAATAGTGTTCAAAAGTGTCTCAGAGTCCTTGTGGATGACAAATTATTTTCAACCCTCCAACCTCTCTCTCTCTCTCTCTCTCTCTCTCAAGTGGGATGTGGTGAACCTATTACTGCTCTATTGCTACTTCCATGACAAACTACATTCCTTGTTTTCACCTTCATAGCTAAGATCTGCCATGCCACATACATTGTAGCAACCCTTACCATTCCCTCTGTATTCAATCAGTTAGATGTAAATTCCACTCAAACAGCTTCTTCACACAAACAACTGCTCTGTGGAACTGACTCCCAAGAGGATGTTTCCCTGATTCCTACAATCTTAACCTACTTCAGAAAAGTGAAAATTTGGCTCATATAGTATATTTCAAAGGAGACTAATATTTTCAATATAATTTTTTCTTATTGATATTTCAATAAATCAGTTATTTCACTTATCTAATAAATTGAATGTTTTAGGATTCTTAACTTTTCTCTTATAAGTAATCAACATTCAGGATAATACATTTGTTAATATTGTAAAAAAATGAAAAAAAATTTGAAAGTGAAAAATATTTCTAAAAGTACAACATAAAAGAACAACAACATTGGGACAATGATGATGATTATACTAATAACAAAATTAACACCACAATACTCACAATCAGTCTCCTCTACAAAGATGGGTGGATGGGAGAATGGAAAAAAAAAAGAAAAGGAACAAGCAAAGGGAGATAAATGATGACACAAACGGTTGCAGAAAAACTAAACTCACGAAAAAGAAAAAAAATCATAAATGTTGGGCTATTTCATTTTTCACTGATTACTATGATATTTATTACATAAATAAAAATATACAATAAAATAATATTTCTTAGAAAAAGTCTTTATAATTACAAGTCTTAAATATTGATGCTCTCTATTCCTTAAGTGATTCTTAAAAATGCACAGTACAAAATATAACAAAAAACTTAAGGCTGCATAATAAAAGCTATTAATGTTATTTAAAAAAATGAATTATGTCTTTTCTACTTAACAATATAAATGCTAAATCAAATAATATTCTTGAACCTTACAAGCAAATGTAAACAGAAAAGATGCAGAATATCAAGAACAATGACTCAAGACATGAACATGACAAAACTATCACCTTTAAGTAAACATCACAAAGAGAAATGTGTAAGTTGGGTGAAAAAAAAGTACATGAAAACTGATTCCTCATCAGTAACTTTTAGTGATGAATGTAGAACTATATTGGATGGACCTGATGGCTTGTCTAGATGTTAGGTCCTTCATAGAAATAGTTAAACAAAAGACAAAATTGGAGTGGTGGAGTAATGTTTTAGGCTAGTATTTTTAAGAATCCTTTCAATATTGATGATGGTGCCAAGATAAGAGCAGAGAATTATGGTAAATTCTTCAAAAAAATCTTTTTTTGAATGGCACGAGTCACTACCAAGAAAGTTAAAGATTATATTCATTCAAAACAATGCTCCTTCACATTCTATAAAGCTGCCCAACTTACCAGAAATGTTTCAAAGACACTAAATTAATAGAAGAGCCACCAGACTCTTCAGATATTGAAGTGAAAACTTGAAAAAAAATTGTTTGAATAATCCTTTTTTTTTTATTGATTAATTTGTTTTTTACAATTTTTCAGGTTATTTAAAGCCAAAATTTTTCCTAGATTGTAAGAATGTTTTTTGAGATAATGATTTTTACTGATACAAGTTCTACTAATTAACCCATAGCTGGGATGAAAAGAGGTGGATTCATAACTTTCCCCAAGGATATTTGTGCATAAGTGAATATAACAAACCTGATTGGTTTATGGAACTTGGTTCCCTGATTTCCAATTCAGAGTCATTATCCATTACACTACCTACATATTCTAGCTTACAGAACTTGGTATTCCCAAGCAGGCACTGAACAGGCTCGATGTTGCTTAACTTCAATGATCCTATGAGAACTGGGGTTTCAATGTGATATGAGAGAAAACCTCTTTTGAATCAGAAGAGTAAATATATTTATTCTCAATTCCAAATTTCATTTGTTTGTATGTTACCTGAGTAATATATTACTAAAAATAATACATCAACATTTATATAGACAAAATCATTTACTTTTATCACTGATAAAGTCATGATTATTCTTTTAAATTTTATTAAAATGATATCATTAAAAGATAGATATAAGGTAATTTGGAAAACAGGTTATCCAATAGATAACTTCTATGAGCAAAGATGATAATGGCAGTTAAAAAATACAGCATTCCTATTAAAACTTTAATTAATTCTGATAAACCTGCAGGTAAGATACAAGAATTCACAGAAAGGGAGGATACAGAAAAGAACACAAATGATAAACATTTTCTTTAATTTTTTTACTTTTCTCTATTGACAAATGTAATTCATATAATGATACATTTTGTTAGTAGCAGATTAAAAAAAATTAAATTTCTGCTTTATTCCCTTAGATATAGCTTTATAAAAGCTATATCTAAGGGGATAAAACACAAAACAGGAGATTAAAAGTAAGTTTTTAGAAAACTGAAACTCACCAATTTTTTGATAAATTGAATTCCAACGCTCATTGAAAGCATTCAAGTCAAATTGAACTTTTCCAATGCTTTTCGGTTTCATCTTCATTTTGCTTAAATCGTCAGCTTTGTTTTTTAAATGATCAACACGAACATCATGAGATTTCATTGCTTTTATTTTTACCTATAAATAAACAAAGAATTGTCATTCATTAAATATGAGGGACCATTTGTTGTCTTCTAGCTAATGACATTCATCTCAGAATAATAATAATAATAAAGGCTGATGGTAGGTTAACAAAAATATAAAATCAAAGTGCAATATATTCTTTGACAATCTCAATCTTTGATATCACTTTGACATAGTGTAATGGTTAGAATGCTTGTCTTGCTAAATCAATTATGACTGAATAGTGAGTTTGATCCTCACTGGGTGCCCCATCTAAGCTATGCTTAAAAAATTACTATTACAGCTTTTCAAAACTGTAGAAGACTAAAAACAAAAAGAAGACATTTTTGAGAGCCTTGAAAACTGGAAAGATGAACACTTTTGGTGAAGTGTTTCTCAATAAGATTTTGTAATAAAACTTGAAAGCTTGAAATAACTTTAAATGAATATGAACTCATATCCATTTAAAGTTATTTCTATATAACTTTATTTCTATCTAGGATAATCTATATATTATGATTATCTCAAAAACACTGACAAGAACTTTTCATACTATTTACATCTAATATTTTTACAATTACCGCCCTGATTTAAAATATATCACCCAAGTTTCTAAGAAGCACTGAATAATTAAAACTGATTTTTCAGTTATAAGCATAAATAAACCCAATAAAAACTTACTCGGCACTGTTCGAGTTGTTTACTAATTTCCACTGCTTCATCACTGATATTTTCTGCTGTTGTGGCCCACTTCTCATAACTAATCATTAGTTCTTTTAGAGCATCCAATTCATCATAGAATTTTTTTGCTTCCATCTCCAGAAGCACTTGGCTATGTGTTTCAGTTAGTAAAGTATTCAAGTTTTTCCATCTGTCTTCCAGTTCTTTAGTCAGTTTTGACACATTGTCATAATTTTCGCCACCTTAAAAACAAAAGCAATTTATATTAGTAAAAAAATGTCATGGGAGTCAGTTTAATCTATCAATAATTATTAAAAATTCTAAAACAAATTAACATCAAATTTGCACCTAAATTTATTTTCTTTCAACTGTGACATCTTAAAATGGATAATAATTTACTTATTATTAAAGTAGCAATTTAATTTAATAGAATAAAAATAGAATACACTAACATTTCTTTTATATACAATGAATGTAAGTATGAAATAAAATATTTTCTTAATTGTTTATATCACAATTCTTAAAAAATTGTTTTTCCCACCTCCTTATTTTTTCAAATAATATTAGTTTTATTATCTTTCTCAAGTAAATGTAAAATTTACTCTTATTTTATTTTTTAATAAAATTGGTGTGTTGAAATGGTTGAATTTTTATTGATGGAAACAGATTTGAATGAATGATGTTGACTGGAAAGAAAATGAGGCAAAGAATTTGAAAAAGAGAAGATATAAAAAATTGACCTAAGTGCATAACAGAATATTATATCAAGTAATAATATCTTTTTAAATTAATTTACATTAGAAAGAAATAATTATTACCTAATTTTAGTTCCTCAATTAAATTCATTCCAGTGTTAAGTAAAGTAGATATTTCAGCATCATGTGTCTTCACATCTTTTTTGGTATCCTGTCAACAAAAAAATAAATACTTGTTAAAACTTAAGAGAACAAAATTATAATAAAACTGAAATGTAGTATACAGACAGACACCAAAGTTCTACTCAAAAAACCATCTCTTTCATGGATTTATAATATTTACATATTTCATAAAAATTTAATGATATGAAAATGAAACTCATTAGTGTTTAAGATTTTATTTCAGGTAACTCAATTTTTCATTACTGCAACAAAAATAGAGAAAATATTTATGCATAAGGTAGTGAAACAGAATGCTTAATTTAAAAAAGAATTAAAATCAACAAATGTATTGAATATTTGAAATTATATTTACAAAGTTTCACCATTTTTTACACTATGCACTTCTGTAACTGAATATTGGAACAATGTTAAATTTTTTTTTCTAAATATTAATCATTTTCAGTTAAATATTTGTTGAAGATCAGAGAAAATATTCATAAACAAACAGATCCTTGGTATGAAAGTCGTCAGCAAAACATAAAAAGTAAATAATACCTGAATTAAAACAAATTGTTCTTCTTCTGAGAATGTCTCATGAGATTCATTTGATGAAGCAACTTCTTCTTCATTATTATCATCATCATCATCCACAGACAGGAGAGCTAAGGTTGATTCAGTTTTTTCAAACCATTCTTTCATTTTCTTCATGTCTATCTCAAACTCTAAACGCATAGCAGTATCTGTCTTACGTCGTTTTGCTGTTCCCAAAGACTGCTCCTTTGGCGTATTCATTTCTCCCATCTTTTCTGTTTCAAGAATTCCTTTAAGGTCGGAAATGTTGCTCAATTCAATTCCTGATCCCGCAATCTTAAAAATGACCACAAAAGAAATTAGAAACATTTACTGTTTCAAAATTTAACAAACAAAGGAACTGCTTGCTGGTCAAAAGAAAATAAATAATACACTAAATTAGATTTTAATATTCAAATCAATGTTTTCAAAATTAAACTGGCATTAACCAATCTTCATGAAATTTTCAGTATACACTTCTATTTATATGAGGTTGAGATTATAATATCTATCCTTACTTAAAATATTGACAATAACCTAATTTGGACATGTCAGGTATATTATGCAAACAAAATGCAATAATTGTTTTATTTATAAATACCGTAAACCTGTGTATATAAGATGCAGTTTTTTTCCATTCAAAATCATCTCTAAAAGTCTGCCACATCTTATACTTTACTATAGAACTCAAGATTGGAAAGGTCATCAATGAATATAAGATTGGAAAGGTCATCAATGAAGATAAGATTGGAAAGGTCATCAATGAAGATAAGATTGGAAAGGTCATCAATGAAGATAAGATTGGAAAGGTCATCAATGAAGATAAGATTGGAAAGGTCATCAATGAAGATAAGATTGGAAAGGTCATCAATGAAGATAAGATTGGAAAGGTCATCAATGAAGATAAGATTGGAAAGGTCATCAATGAAGATAAGATTGGAAAGGTCATCAATGAAGATAAGATTGGGAAGTCATCAATGAAGATAAGAAACAAAGTAGGTTCAGGGATAGAGCCGTGGTGTACCCCCACATTAATGTGGAAGGATCTAGAAAAGTGGCCATTCAACTCAACTTTCATTTGTTAAGAAAGATTGGATCAAATTAAATATTCATAGAGAGATACCATAGCCCTTCTGTATGTGAAGAAGGCCAGTATACCAAACCTGGTCAAATGCCTTAGAGATATCTAAAGCCACAGGTTGAGTCTTGCCATTCTTATCTCATGCTTGACAGATTCTTTCAGTAATAACAGTTAACACATCAGCAGTTGACTTAGGCATACACATTACATACATGTATATATACAAATAAGATGACTTGGAAGTATACTAAATAACATTCACCCTTTACAAAAATTCCCTAATGCAAAAAAATAAAATCTTGATTGCAGTATTCTTTTCAAGGAGCTCAAAATATACAAAGATCATTTCTTCAACATGAAACTAAAATCACTTGAACCAAATGATTACCATATTAATCTGCTAACATCTAGTTTGGTTTAAATTAAAAGGAGAAGCTGGAAGGAGAAGTGGGTTGGACCATTCCAACCTATTTCTCAAAACCTGACCAAATATCAGAAATTGGAGGCAGGGAATTGTTTATGTAGAGAATTTTCAGTAACCTCTAATAATATCAAAGTTTTTAAGTTAGTATTTCAAAACACACACACATATATATATATATATATATATATATATATATAATATAATATAAAAGAAAGAACAGTAAGATATATAATCCGGTGTTCTTATAGATATTTTTATTTTTACAAAATAGTGCTCAATGTAAATTTACAGAGCATTAATATTATAAATTAATTGATTTAAAATGTGTTTTTTTCGCTACAGAGTTCTAACCATGTTTCAAAAATTGAAGCTAAAAGCCCCGAATTTAATTTTGTGATTAAATTAAAGACATTACTTCCATTTCATCCTCAAGTGATTCTCTTGAAAGATGAAGAACCTATCAGATAACATGATGAGGTGAAGATGAGAATCTCATTTCAAATGCCTTGTAGAATAACATCAGCATTAATTCAATCTGATTATTAAATTCTAAGGTTTACAGACCATCACTATATTAAGCTAAAGAAACAGTTGACATTGAGTTGGATTACTGAAATATGTAAAAGGTATGTATAAAATTCCAAATTCAGAGAAAAGAAAATCCAAACATGTCATTCCTCTTACCTCTTTGCTTTGAGTTCCCATATTCTGAACTAGAGTTTCCCAGCGTTCTTGGACATCTTCTAGCTGACAACTGATACGTTGTATGGCCTGTTTGTCATCTACATACTGTACTATTTGTTGCCCACATTCATACAATTCATCAAATCGTTGCACTTGGAATTCCATTTCTTTTTCGATGGCCTAAACAAAAATAAGCAAGACAACAAAAAATATAATTTCTAGAAAATTTATAAGAAAGTTCAATGATATGCTTTAAAGCTTACTGACAATAGTGACTTTTTTATAGTTATAATTAAAACTACTATGCTATAAATAGATCACACTGAAGATCAACAACCATTCTTTTTGTTTACACAAAGAAGTCTTAATTTAATAAAATTGTTTCAAGAACTATCAAATGAAAGTCAGAATGTGATCTAGTATACATGTGTACATATATTATTAATATGTTTATTTCTTATCCTCATTTCCACCCCCATGCTTTCTTTTAGTCATTGTGCATGATAAGGGGGGCTAAGAACATTTGTTGACAAAAATATACCATCTTGAACAACCTTTTAGTACAAAAACAAATTCCATTTCAATATTACAAATTGCTGTTTATAAATGAATGATGTATGTTTCTAAAAGTGGATATATACATAAAAGAAATATTTCCTAATGCAAGTCTAAGAGATTTTATATATTTTTCAGATATTCATGTGGATATTAATCATTTTTAGTTACATATGAATATTTTTTATTTTTATATACAGAATCAATATTAAAAGGAACTGAATTTAGTAAACTAAATTTCCAGATATAAAATTTTAGTTTTGATCATTTTAGCTGTCATATTAACAAAAATGATAAAAATCAATCTGAATATACACAACATAGTTTATATTCACAGTTTTCAGTCATAAGTTAAAATCAAATTCATTTTGATCTTTTATTTACACTTGTTAACTTATATTGTAAGTATAGACAAGAAAATTAGAAAAAGAAAAAAATTACTTCACCTTGTATTACAATAATTTTTACCTTCTTAGAAGATTGTTTTACTTTGAAATCTATCAGTTTAAAGAAAATAAATCAGGAAATTAAAAAAGAGTTTATTCCTGTGTTATTAAATTAAATTATTGGTTTAAATTATTAGTGAAAAGTCACGTTAGATGATACAATAATTTCAAACGTAAGCTTTCAAACTTCTGCATGCTAAAAGCTTAATAAAAATTTGTCAGATTTTGAAAAGTTAAACTATTAATATTTACATAAAAAATGATGCTTTATGGTAACAATTTATGGTATTTCGAAAATTCTGAAGATAATTTATTAAGTTTACTGTCCAATTAAAAAGTATCAAGTATTAATTTATTTGAACAAAATGAAGTTACGACTTGGAATTATAAACCACTTTTATTTTTTTATATGCTCATAAATATTGGGGGGGGTCACTGTTCAAAATGAAGTAATGATCATTCAGATTTATACTCTTTATTTTACATTCTCAATTAATATATATATATATATATATATATATATATATATATATATATGTATATAAATAAAAAGAAAGAACAGTAAGATATAAAATCCGGTGTTCTTATAGATATTTTATTTTTACAATATAGTGCTCAGAGCATTAATATAAATTATTTAAAAATTTACAGAGCATTAATATTATAAATTAATTTTTGATTTTAAAATATTGGTTATTTCATCTTCAAGCGAATTTTGGAGTAACTTTTTAAAATACGTTTACTAAAATCACGTTTTGGTTACAGAATATTCTACTCAAACAATGATTTTCAAAATAGAAGTTATTAGCTACAAAAAACATTCCTAATTAGCAAAAAATTTTTGCAATTAAATTATTCTGTAACCATGGAAACGTGATTTTAGCTGTGTCTTTAAAACCCGTAATTTTTAAAAAGTTACTCCAAAATTCGCTTTGAAGATGAAATGGAACTAATGCTTTTAATTTAATTGCAAAAAAAGCATTAGAAAATAACCATATTTTTTCCATTTCATCTTATATTCTCTAACAATCTATATAGAAAAATAGTTTTTATATATAGTTTCACAGTTTTTTCACACTTGTTTTAAAAAAAAATATATAAATCTTAAATTAGAGCTGTTTTGGAGAAAAAAGACATTTCAACTGATTTGTAAATATTTTAAGATTACCCAGAAAGAATACACTAACTAAGGATCAGTAACATAATTGTGCAGATATTTTCTACAATATTCCTTTGTAATTAGGTGACTAAATTGAGAAAATCCTTTTAAATATATGGTAGATCATAAAGATAAAATTATGATGATGTTCTTGCTATCAAGAACTAAACTTCATTAAAAAAAAATGTTTGACTGCTATTGTCATCAATATATTTTCCTGCTTCAAAACTACAAATAAAATGTGAAATAAACTAATTTTATTCTGTTGCTTAAAAAAATCCAAACTTATAATTTACTTTATATATTTACTTCTCAGCCATTTTTCTTAGAGACAAAAATACAATGTTTCTTGAATGTATTTTTTTTTTTTTATAAAATTGGTGAAAAGTCTATGCAATGTTTTATTTTTAATACAATCACTTTTCTGAAATCTTCATATTGCTACTTTTTTCTCTAACGCTAAAAATGAACAGAATAGATCTTTAAAATGTAATTTTAACTTCATAGAACATAAAAAATTCTTTCCGCAACTAGACTTCTTAAAAAAACAAAAAAAAACAACTGGAATTCTTAACTGCTATATTCTTAAGTTCACTGTGATATGCTTTATTAGGAGGTTCAGTTTTGGTTGATTTTTGCATTTGTACCTAAGATTTTTAGATACCTATAATAATGAATGCTATGAATTTTAATATTTTCTTTGCTTATTCTAATAGCTAATAAAATATTACTTTTTGCAGACTTAAAAGCCTCATAAAAAAACTTAAATGATTATTGACTGAAATAGAATTTCTTCAATACCAAATAAAAATATCAACACATTACCAACCTTGAGATTCTTCACTTGTTCCACAACCTGAGGAGGATCCTGCAAGTCAGCAGTTTTCATTTTGATAAGATGCTGTTCTTGGTCTGAAAGCCAATTGCAGAAGACATCCAGTTCTTCACTGTAGTACTGCCACTTTAAAAGAATGTCTTGTAATAATAACCATCGGTCTTCTGTCCAAGTACAAATATCAGTCCAACGCTTACTAAGTGAATCCAGTTGTTGTTCCAAGTCTTCACAAGCTAAAATATAAAATAAAAAGGAAGATATAGTGATACAAAATGAAAGAAATGGGAAAATTTAATGTAATATTTTGCATTATCTCCCTCTAGTTATGTAAATAATGCTTTAAAATAATACTAACTTAAATATTCTATAGACACACACACACATATATATTCTTCAGTTTTAAAATTGTAAAAATATCCCAAAAATCCATTATGAAAGTAAAGGATGCCTTTAAAAAGAGCCAAAAAAAGACAGAAAATAACAAAATAAGTAGCTTTCATTTCCTTTTCATTAAATCTATTGTAACATTGAATGTTGGTTGTGTAGAAATTATTGATTGATTTGTGGGTTATTTAAAACCCAAACATTTTGGATTATAAGAATAATTCTTTTTTTGCAAATGAATATTGCATTAACAATTTTTGGGAGATAACAATGATTTTTCCAGATACAAGTCCTACTATTTAATCCATAGTTTGTGGGAGAGAAGAGAAGAATTTGTACCTTTCCCAAAGATATTTACATGCAAGTAAATGTAACAAACTCATCTCTCCGATTGCTCATTCTGAGTCACTATCCATTACATCATTTGCACATTTCCCATGTAGTAATGGAAAATTCAGGGTACCAGTAGATTTCATATTCTTTTTTAATTTCCTCAATACACTTTTTTTGCATCATCTATAATTGACTTTATCTACTTAACATACATCAATATATTATGTAATCTTTTTGTATCTTGTTCCCTTCATGGAACATTTTTTTTTATGTAAAATGTAAGATTTTCAATCAGACTTTCTTGAAAGAAAGGCAAACCTATAATTATAGTAACAATTACAAGAAATAAAATGATATAAAATGCAATTATAAAACAATGCTCATCAGATACACAATTTCCTTGTGAACTAAAAAAAAAAATGATGAATATTTATTGAAAGAAATTGGCTGCTATTATTACAAATTACTTCAGTGTATCTAAAATTAAAATTAAGCAGATATATGCTGAAAGTAGTTGCTTGCAAATTTCAATTGTTTTACAAAATTAAAATCAGGACAATAAAATATCAGAATGCTTATTTAAAAAAAGTTCTTATCTTTGTATATTGCTAAGAAACATCCATACAGTTTATTTTCAACAATATACTGAAGTTAAAAAAAAAACTATTATAAAAGTCTATAAATTATAGACAGGGTAAAGTCTCTTTCAACAATTCAATAAAATATTCTGAGCTGAATGAATGCCAGATTATTTCAATATATTTAAATAAAATCTTTTGCCTAAATAAACATTGATTTTTACAGTGGAAACTTGCCAATACAATAGGAAAAATCCTATAAATTATAAATATACAAAAACCAGAAAGATTTTAATTTTATGCTCCTGAAAGACAGAACTCATGAGTAACAACTAGAATAATGTCATAAATATCTTCTTCAATTTCTGAGTAATTATGTATCTAGTTTGAAGGATGATTTATAAAACATTAAATTTATTTACAAACCATAAGAGATTTTTATTTTATCCAAATAGAATTTGGCTGTCAATGCATTTAAAACTTAAATATTGTTATTCGCATACTTTCTCTAAATTTCCCAATCTTGCTTAAATTTTTCATTACAGAAATATAATTATAAAATAAGTTTGAATAAATTTTTACCTGTTCAGAGATTGACTAAAATAATAGATTTTTAGCTTGCTGCTCCAATAAATCCATCAAATAACAATATTCTAGCATGAAAGTATGAAAATGTTTGCTTCAAGAAGTACAAATAAAGGTCTAATATATATAAAGACATTTCAAAACTCACCATTTTCAGAATTGGTATCATCCACTACAACAACCATGTTATGTAAAGAGTCTACAAGCTTTTGTTGTTGTTCCACTGAAGATTGTAATTTCTAAAAAGGAACAAAGTAAAAGAGAGAGCAATGATTTGTCTGGAGATATTTTCATTATTATACATTTTATTATTAGTTTTAGACTAGTTATTTTGTTGTTTAGTTGATTTGATGTGTTTTCATATAGTCAAGCCTAAATAGATGATGGTATCTGGGGCTAATGATATAGTTTCTAATCCAATTTTTAACTGAAAAAATTATTAAATTATGGAAGGTATGTAATTTAAAAGTCATTCTTACAAATCACACAGCAAAATGTAAAACATAAGAATTGTGTCTATCACTTATCCAGTTTTCAATCCCCAGCAGCTGATAAAACAACAAGTGAAAAGGGGGAAAAGGAAATTCAGGTCATACATCTACATGTTTATAGTCAATGAAATTCACCATTTCTTTAAATTTTTAATGGATATGTTTGTATTTATACTTGAAGTATTTTATTTTTGTCTTCTCTGCATCTAAATGAAAACCATGAATGTTTTAGTATCCAGAGTTTGCATCCTCTGAAATCATTTTTATTACAAGTAATTAATTACAATTCAAATAAGATTTTCTCATAAATTTAAATTGTTAAATAACAATTTTCAAACAATCAATTTTTCTCTATTATCAATGGTTAGCTCCTTTAAAAAGTTTTAAACATCATTACTGCATTTTTTTCTTCATTTTTTAAAACTCTTTATTGAGACATTGAACTCAACTTTAAGGTTATTTCATTATTTCCAATTTGGATGAGGCAAAATTCCAGCAAAGGCTTAAATAATTATAGAAATATTTTTGTAATTACATAATGAAAATAAAAACAATTACTTTATGCTGATCAACTTGACTCTTGATGGTTTCCAAGTCTGATCCAATTGATTCTTGCTTAAGACGTGTTTGTTCCATTCCTGTTAACCACTTATCCAATTCTTTTAATTGCTGCTGTTGTAATTCCATCAAAACTTTTTGTAATCTAAGAAAATAAAACCAAGGTTAAATGAAAATTGAGTATGAAGGAAAAAAGACAGTCAAAACAGTTGGGGGCCTTTTTATTTAAAAAAAATTTCAATAAAATATCATACATAAGAATGTGATGATTGCAAAAGTGCTTTTCATTTGTGAAACCTGAACCAAGTTTAACCAATTCATTGACAACAGATTTCAAATTAAAATTTTCAAAATGGATGACTTTAAACAAAAAAAAAAAAAAAAAAAAAAAAAAAAAAATATATATATATATATATATATATATATATATATATATATATATATATATATATATACTTACATTACTTTCAAAATTCTAACAATGAATTCTATAATAAAAACATAAATGATTAAGTTTTAATAACTTGTCACATTTTTGGATAAGCTTACAGCAAGAATTCTTCCATCTTTCGTAATCCTAATGAAAGATTGTGCTGGGGTTTATATTAAATTGTTTACAATATTTGTCTGTCTTCCATAATGCTAAAAATATATGGCATGTACAGAAACCATGAATCAGATTAAAAATCTAAACATGATAAATTTAAAATATGATTTATACAAATCAAGTTGATATTTTAAGATTTTATTATTAAAAATTTTAACCCTGATTTTAACTTCTTTCTCCACTTTGTATGAGTAACGATTTGTTTGTTGTTTCTCTTTAGCAACAGTCAGTGATTTATATTTATCAAACTAAAAGTGACAGATCATGTTTAAAATTATCAAAATTAAATTGGTCCAGTTTTGTAGAGAATTATTTTTAAAGTAAATAAAAAAACAATCTATCACAATTTCAGCTAAATTCCACATCAACATCCATACAATACACATGTTCTGTATTCATGTATTTGGTCTAAAACCTTATCATGAAAAAAGTATTTAAATTTCAATATAATTTCCTTCATTAATTACTATTTCATTTCTGAGAGGAATAATTTTGACCATTTCCTTTTTGTCAATACATTTAATTCAGTGGTAAATATTAGTCAAAGAAAGTTTCAGCTCAAAATTCAGGTAATAAATAGATGTTGAACAAAGGAATTATTGATCCCTCCTTATGGACTTGGAACATGATACTAGTAGTACAAATGGAAAAGAAAAGTTTTTGTGTGTTTTGGTTAGATCATCAATTTTCAAATTTCAGCAGCTCCACAAAAGTATAATAGAGAGAACATTGGATTTCCTCAGCAGTTGTTACAATCATGTGTGAATAAGATTAAGTCATTAACTAGCACAACTCTATATAGCAGAACAGCAAGGCTTTAGCTACATCTGTATCATCCTTAGAAGAATATAGTGGTTAAAGCAGGATTTTATCTGAGACTAAAGAACTCCAACAATCCAGTAGTCCACAGCCTAATTTACAGGCAGAGCACAAATGGAATGTATGGACGCAAGAAATTGTGGGAGCTGGCCAATGTAACAGCAACATAATCAGCTGGCGGAAGTGCAGATGATATTACCAGCCCTTGACTTGTGAAATGAAATGATTGTCAAAGAAAGAAAGAAAGAAAAAAAAACACAATGAAAGCAATGAATGGATCATGGCTTTAGGTCACATGGGAACCAATGACTAATTATTAGCTATCATGAAATGACCTGTAAACAATAGAGTGCTTCCAAATTAGGCTTCTTGTTCAGGTAATGTAGAACATATTACATATACCAGCAAAAACGAAGATATGAGGACTAGCAGAATCTAATGTTTCCAAACTATGTTGAGAATGAGGATATTTAAAGCAAAGAAATGAGACCACTCAATAAGTAAACAGGGAGGGACAATCAAATATTTCCTAACATAGTAATCCGGAAAAAGTGAATGTCATTCAGCAGACGGAAATAAATCAGCACAATTTTATGTGAGCCAGTAAAGTCATTTGGTATAAGTCCTATTGGTAAACATTAAAGATTAATTGACAATGTGTATAGATCTATAGGTAAACAGAATGTTTCTAATGCATATTGCCATGTCCCACTAAAGATAGGACATCTTAGTGTGACTGGAAAAGTTTAAAAAAATGTTATAATTGTGGAATTCACTATCCAGGACACAAAACATTTAATCAACTTGAGTACAAATTCTTGTTTGCAAAATTAAGCAACCTGAGTATTGGTCAAAATTTGAAGTTGTTTATAAGAAAAAATACAAGTGACTGAGAATTTCCATGTCATCCACAACATGTCATATGGCTTCCTTGCACTTCTAATTTGAATTCCTTGCTCTAATATGTTTGGACACTATTGAGAAAGCCCAGTCCTACAATTTTAAAACATATTGAAGGCTGACTGTCAGCATAAACAAAAATCAACTGATCTAGGTATGTACTTGCTTCTGAGGCCACATCTAAGCTATTGTCAAAGTTGGTGGCAGATTTACTGAATAACATTTTTCAAATTTGAACATGCATACAATTTTTTTTTTCTGTTGAATATATTTGTTTTTCTTTAGATTATAACATGTTCTTCATTACTGTGTGCATGTGTGTGTAAAAAAATACACATTCTTAACAGGAAAAGCTATAAAATGTATAAATGGTTAATAATATTAAATTTTTCAATAGGGGTTCCATGATGGTACTAATCTCTACATCAGGTATACTTATATTATTTTTGACAAACACCTCCTTCACATTATGCATATTCCAGAGTAGTCCTATATCTGGTTTTAACATCATTTCATGGATATTGCACTTACTTTTTTTAGTCCACTATACATGACTTCATGGCCATACTTCAGATTACTGATTTTCAATTCTCTTCAAGTATAACATAAACCAACAAAGCATAAAATTCATATATATATATATATATATATATATATATATATATATATGTGTGTGTGTGTGTCAGGTCATCCCATAAGTTCTGTCCGAATTTTAAATTTTTGTTAAAATGAACAAAATTTAAAGAGTATTTTATAATGTCTAATGGAGCTGAACATTATTTTTATGTTTAGATGCATTTAAACTGATCAAATTTTATTTCAGAGAACAATAAAATTAAATTTTGTTTGATTAAAACCCTGCTAACATGGAAGTACCCAAGAATCATTTGAGGCACATAATGCTTTATGAGTTCAAGAAAGGAAACTCAGCAGCCGAAGTGGCTAGAAACATTCACTCAGTTTATGGAGAGGAATGTGTGAATGAAAGAACTTGCAGAAGATGGTTTGCAAAATTCAGAGGTGGAGATTTCACCCTTGAAGATGAAGATCGAACCGGACGTCCAGTTGAGTTTGATGAAAAGCTTCTTGAAGTAGCCCTTGAAGAAAATCCTACTTTATCAGTTGAGGAATTGGCAGTGGTTCTCAGTTCAAACCATGCAACTGTTCATCGTCATCTTCAACAACTTGGAAAAGTTCCTAAACTTGGAAAATGGGTGCCTCATGAATTTTCTGAAAACAACTTCTCTCCATTCTCGCCAACTTGTTTCACCTTTTTTGGATAGACTTGTGACTGGTGATAAAAAATGGATCTTTTATTGAAATGTTAAGTGTCATAGAGAGTGGCTTGGTAAAGGGGAAGGACCCCAGCCACAGCCGAGAAGGGAACTTCATGGGCAAAAGGTTCTTCTTTCAATCTGGTGGGATCTCCAAGGAATAATCCACTTTGAATTCTTACCACCTAATGCAATAATTAATGCTCAAATATACTGTCAGCAATTAGAGCATTTGAACCAAGCTTTGAGGAAAAAAAGACCTGCTCTAGTGAATCAAAAAGAGGTGATGTTTCATCAGGACAATGCGTGACCCCACACAGCAAGAATCACGTCACAAAAGATCAAAGAACTTGGTTGGGAGAAAATTCCTCATCCACCTTATTCTCCCGATCTTGCTCCTTCAGACTACCATTACAGAATCATTTGGAAGAAGCAACTTTTGTAACATAGGAAGAGGTTAAAACTGACATTGGTGAGTTCTTCGAATCAAAGTCAAAAGAATTTTACAGTGATGGAATTAGTAAGCTTGTTAATAGATGGAAGGAAGTCATAGATAATCAGGGAAAATACATTGTTGATTGAATCTGTAATTAAATGTAACATTTGGTCACTTGTTTTCTTTATTCAAAATTCAGACAGAAATTATGGGATGACCTTATATATATATATATATATATATATATATATATATTTGTTGATTGATGTGTTTCACGCTTTTATGATCGTCAAAAGTGTGAAACCCAGGGTCACAAACTCACATCAATCCAACCAAATATGTTAGCTCTATCTCTGATATTGAGCGCTTTCTAATAAGTACCACGCATATAATATACAGTAATGGAAATTATATATTTATTTATTTATATACACACATTTTTCACACACACATATATATATATATATATATATATATATATATATCTGTTGTAGTGTCCTCCTTCTATTGAGGCTATTTGGATTCTTCCACTTACTATAAAGTTAGTAGGAAAGTAAGCCTCGGGGAAACAGTGATATAGACTGAATGCTGGTCAACCGACACACACTAGCAAGTCATGTAACACTCTTCTGTTGTATTTACTGTTCAATACATGATTTATCTGCAACCTCTTGTTTTGTTATTTCTTAACCATTTACTTGGTCACAACATTTTGGTGACAAAGGATTCATGTTAAATCATAAAAGTTTTTGTGCCAGTGTATATAACACTGGTGATGAAAGGAATTCTACGGCAAAAGGATATCCAGTGTTAAATACAACACTGTCAGTGAAAAAGAATTGTTCAAGTCAAACAGACTTATTGTTGGGTTAAGTGGAAAAAAAATTTCCCTGTTCATTTCTTAACTTTTTGTATCACCGTAGTAAAATGGATGAATTTAAAAGTGCAATGCTAGAGTTATTAAAACACCAACAGGAACAACAGTTACTGTTGGAACACAAATTTCAAGAAAGACGAGAGAAATTCCAACAGGAACAAGCAGAATTGCGTTTGCAAAATAAACAAGAAAATAAAAAACTGCACCTAGAAATTTTGGTTAGACAACAGAA